TGAAAAGAAGAAATATGTTAATTTGCTGTAATTTACTGTAAAACTTAAGAGACTAATAACAAAACAAAGAAAAAAAGATATTCGTGCTTAAACTGCTGGTTATTATTCGCTAATTATTACAATCTTTTCGTTTGATACATGAGTGTGTTAACAATCTTCGTATAGAAAACAAAAATTAACAATATTTAGACGTCGATCAGTAATTTGATCATCTTCAGTAACGCAGGAAATTCGTAAAATTAAACGGTTTTATTTTACGAATTTCCTGCATTACTGAAGATTATCAAATTACTGATCGAAACGTCTAAATATTGTTAATTTTTGTTTTCTATACGAAGATTGTTAACACACTCATGTATCAAACGAGAAGATTGTAATAATTCGCGAATAATAACCAGCGATTTTCACACCAATATCCTCTTTTTTTTATTTGTATTATTTCGTACGTGCTTTAGCTCTTTTTCACCTTTGTTAAGAAACTAAATCTTTTGCCATGTTATCTTGTCTCCAGCTATACTTCAAATAATTAATCAAAATAATTTTCTGCTGTTTTATATAAGTTTTAAAATAAAGTTTACACTACTATAAATGAATACTACTTACTTTTATTTGTACGAGGAAATCTCTGAGATGCTCTTTAAACGCAGTGATATCGTGATTGAGGTGAAACAATCCTTGTACTGTTATTTTAATCTGATTATCAGTTAAATGCGGAAAGGCTGCTCTAAGCAATCTTGCAACGAATTCTTGTATATATAAAGTATTATCAGGTACAGGGCCGAGCGGCACCTGAATTTTCCCACGTTCAATCAGTGTAAACATGTAAGCGAGAATTGTAGCGTGCATTGTAAGTCCTGTACACATTAATTAACATCGTTAAAATAAGAACAATATATTAGTAATCAAATCAGTTAGTCCTTTCGGGTCGGGATTTTTCTAACAAAGTAATTTGTACAAGATCTTGTTTTCTAAGGATTTTCAAGATCGCCGAATTCTATTGTGGCCTTAGAATTAAAAAATTCAAAATAACGAAACCAATATGAGGAAGTAAATTTCAAAAAATTAATTTAATTATCGTGAAACTACGTTTTAGGTAGTTTTTGGAATCATTCGACTCAAGTGTGTAACCTCAAAATTATCGATTTTCAAGATAATTCGATCTTTTTAAATTTGATGTACTATATTGGATCTATCAAGATTATATTCGAATTCGGGAATTTTAAAAACCTACAATCGAGTTTCAAAATAATCCGATTATTTTTTTCATTTTATTTGCCACATTAGATCTGTCATTTTGAACTTTGTACTGTCGACTTTAAATTTGAATCAAGTATCAATATTCCTATCGGCCAAGTTTTATGAAAATAGAGTGAACAGTTTTTAAAAATAAAAGAGGACCTATCTGGAAAGAGCCGAAAGGACTTAATAAGGATACAATTGTTTTACCAGCTGTATGTGATGTATCCGTGACAACACTGAATATATGTTGCAGAATATCCGTAAAATATGTCTGATAGAAACTTTGACCGGCTTGTTCATGCTGTTCAATATTTAATAAAAGTTGATAAAGAATTTGCAATCCTGTATCTGCTACATTCCTCATTGTGTGTTTAAAAGCCCAAATAATTGAGTCAAGAACCAGCTTAAACTGAGCTGGTGGAATTGAAAGAAACGCGGGGAAACAATGAACGTTCACCGCCTGAAAATAAAATTATATTTAAATACTCCGTCTTAACTATAAATGTGAAAAGAAAATTGAGAAATGTACTCGTAGCTTTACGCACTTGTAAAAGAAGAAAAAAGTTCGTCCTGTGTTCGGGAAATTCTTCGAAGTCTTTGTTTATCATTTCTAAAGTACATTCGAAAACGGCGTCAAAGATTTTCGGTACTTCGCTAGTGATATGGGCTTCTAGTTTGTTTACTATAGTGGCCATAGCACTAAGCACTTCGGGCTCTCTAGCACAATGAACATTCGTCTTTTGATAATCCAACAAGACGGCGTCCAATAATGGTGGTATAAAGTTTTCCAATACCTAACAAAGAAATCTTAATTAGTATATTTCAATAGAATAAATTTAAAAAAAATATATATTTGATACTGGAAAAAAAAGAAGGAAAGATATAAGCAGAGAAATTTACCATTTGATGATCACTCGTTCTGCTCACCCAATCCGAGATTAATTTCAACGTTTCCTTTTTCACTACTCTCATACGTCTTGATTAAAGGCTGTTTCATTACAATCTCACCATTTACAGCTATCGCAGCACTTATATTTTCACTCATAACCTAAAATAAATTCAATTTGCGCTCAATATCGATAATTGTCTTGACAAATTTTAAATAGAGACACATACCTTATAAACATTCAACATATCTAAGTATATTTTCCCTAATTGTATCACGTACGGGTGCCCAAGAGCTTTGCATGCTCTAACATTTGTCTTTAAGATGCTGGCAAGTTGCTTCACGGCTTCTTGGTCCTTCAAGACATCCACATTCTGGCAAATATACATATTTTTTAGTACAATTGCATACACATACAAATGTAATATAAAATGTTTTTTTTTTAAGATTTAATACAGATACTATGACGTACTTTAGATGCTTGACTTATAATGTCATCCCAAACTTGGTTAGGAAGAAGCATGTATTTTTCAATCAGTTGCTCTTGCACAACATTATCGGCTTGAGCACTTATCATATAGCCAACCGCTTCATAGAATGTATGTACCTATTACAATTGAATATACAGGTTAAATACTGCATCATTAGATTATGTAGCTGTTAAATGTCTCCATGGTGGTACCGTCATGTTTTTAGACATTAAAGGCGGCGAAGAAGTCACGAAGGGATTTTCTTTGTACAAAGCGTTAAACCACACAATCACAGGTATAAACAAATATAAACAGGTATAAACAAATATAGTTTATCTTACTTGTTCTGTTTGGAGGTCGCATATGATGGTGCTAATTGTAGAAAGAATTTCCTCAATGAATGGCATTGCTTCCCCTAATTGTACAGTAACAAAATGTCGTCTGCATTTTAGTGCTATTTTAATAAAAGTATCGCAGGCCATATCTTGCACACCATCGTGCGTTTCTACAAATAACAATTCATTATACATCGGCTGCTTCGTATAGTATAAAATTGTCATAAAGATATCCACACTCACCATGCATAAACTCAAAAAGTTTATTTACAACAGTCTTCAGAAACTTCCAATGGGCTCGGAGAAATCGCGGATATTGGCCAACAACATACATGATATTGCTGGCAATTATCGCTTTGTTGTCTTTCCCTTTCTTTTGCTCACACAAACCTAGCAAATCCTTGATTACAGTTACCAAGAAGCGCTTCTCGTCCTCTTCGTGCATAGCACCAGAGATACTGCCTATTGCCCAGCATAACTAACAAATATAACATAATAAATATTATTACACGATTGATACATAAGACATGCTAAATATATAAATAAAGCTACCATTTAACGCTAATTAATATTCTATTACAACATTTGAAGGAATAGATAATTACCGTATTGAGATTCTTCCAAGACCATTCTGTGCCGTTAACTTGATTTTGTAATTTCTCTGTCATTACTCTCTCAGTATCCACATAATCAAGATGAGTAAGATATACGAGAGTTTCTCTCATGTTTTTGTAGAGATTAATGGAGTCGGTATCTTTCATAAATTCCCTGACAACTTCTCCGTTTTCGTTTTCCACAACAAGCACTTCTTCGGGCTTGGCCATTCGGCTGATCATAATGTAACGTACTTTTGTCAATACCGGACCGTAAAATACTCTCCGTGGCGGTATCGTCATGTTTTTAGACATGAAAAGCGGCGAAGAAGTCACAAAGGGATTTTCTTTGTACAAATCGGCGGCTAATCCATTCCAGTACTCCAGACAGATTTTAAATATTTCAACTTCTTCAACTTCGGAGATGAGGACAAGATAATGCAGTGACTTCACTAGCGTATCATTCAATTGTTTCCTCTCTATTAGCTCGCCATGTTCTTTGAGATAAGTACAAAGAAACATAGCTAGATTCTGAATAAAATTCTGCTCTTGATCTTGGCCAAGCGCATATGCGTCACGTATGTTAGTATCCAGTGCAAGCATCAACTCCAACTGCTGCATCGTATTGATGAACAATACAACAAACATATCATCATAATTCGGCACCGTAGCATTGACAGCTGCGATTTCAGTGAGACACTTTAAAGTGACGTTTCGAAATATTGGTACATTCAAAAACTGTGAATTAAAAACAATGAGTTTTTAAATACCGATACGAGTACTATTTTTATGATGCAATAAGCAATCAATAGTAATTTATACCTTGAATATTAAAGTGGTTATTAATTTAGTTTCAAAAATATATCCAAGTGGTATCCAGTTTAAAAACCTTAGTAGTGTCTCTAGTGTGACTGCTACTAATGGAACATTCTGCGAATTATCCAAGACAAATTGGCAAAGCTGGAATATTTGCGAAAACTCGCTGCACATTGTATCTTTCAAATGTTTCGCCTTTGTTTGAGTCATTTGACCACTAGAAAAGTCAAATACTTCCTCTGATAAAAGCTTTAAGATGACCATGTTGTTTTGACAAAGACTCTCATTAGTTTTACTCGCACCAACAATATCGCTGATAAAAGATTCCCAATTTTTGGGCCATTCACGCTTTAGTACCTAATGAAAAAACATTGGAGATTACGCATAAATCACAAACATTAAGAAATCAAATGTTCGGCTACTTACTTGTACAAGTATCATGTTAAGCTTGTTGAGATAAACTTTTGAAACTTCCATTGTTTCTGCATCACTGCTCGTTTTTATGATAAGGCCTACAATGTATTTTTTTATACCTTCGCACTGATTTCTTGGTAATACTTTCCATCTTGTCTTTATAACTTGCTCCAATATTTGCAAGCCATAATATTTCGTTTGTTGATTCTACAGAATGATGCAACAATATAGTATATTGAGAGTGCGTACGTGTGCAACGAATAGTGAGACCCAACTTTGTGGTATTTACCTGTGAATACTCTAAAATGGTATCTACCCGTGTCCAAGCATTTGGATGTTCTTTAAGAGTTGTTAACACTTCTTGGGCAAGTCTCTGTTGCTCTCCTATACCAGTATACATACATCCTACTATATTGTCGAGAAGTGTTATATCCAATTTCTGATTGAAGTCCAATAATTTAGAAGCTTGATCATTCAAAGTTGCCATTATGTATCGTAATTGTTCTTTTCGTACGTTTTACCTTTTAAATTAAAAAAAAATCATGTAAAAATATGTCATTTTTAACGATAAAATGCTTGAATAAATAAGTTTATATATAGTAACAAACATAAGCTTTTAAGACGGCTATTCTTTATCAGACTTTATCTCTTTATCTTTTCTATTACTTAATTTTGATAACATATATACTTAACATATATATTTTGATAACATATATATATTAAATGTTAGTAAATAATGTAATACTTAATGCAAAATGTAATTTAGTAGTAGTCTTATTTAGACTTAAGAAAATAACTAATAAATATTAGTAAACACCATAATCTTAAATTCTTGTCTGCTATCGTATGTGCACATATGATTTGATTGGTACTTTAACATGTTTATATAATTTTATAAATCTAAAATAAGATATATAGCTGATATATAGAAAAAATTAAACAATGAGTTCTAATAATGTGCATTTTTTCATAAATATTACTATATTTTAATTATTCTTAATATTATTATTAAATATCTTAATTAGCTATTTAACATATAGAAAATAGTCTTTAGATCATAAGATATATATCACACTTATAAAAGTCAGCAATAAATACTTGAAAATAATAATGTTGAAGAATACCACCAAGATTTTATTGCACGTTTACATTTGATTTAGAATTAAAATCTACAGCGTAGAAAATGCATAATAAAGAAAAGTATAAAAATGAAGTAGAAAGAGAACTTTTATAAATATCACTATCTGTAACCAGAAATTTAACATGTGAAAAATAGTGAGATCATATAACACTAAAATTATGAAAATTAGTGTTAGATATTTAAAGACAACAATGTTGGTGTTACAAAACTTTTGTCACACATGTTCGTACTGGATTTAAGATAAAAAAAGTTTGTAGTATAGAATACACACAATAAAGACAAGAATTAAAGTGGAGTAAAAAAGAAAGAATTTTATGAATACCACTGTCCTTAATTAGTAATTTAATGCATAAAAAAGAATCTTGAGATCGTACAATGATATCAAAACTATACAAGCCAGCGTCGGATATGTGAAAACAATGTTGAAAAGTGTCGCGTAGATTTTGTAGCACGTGTTTACGCGAATTGAATATAAAATAAAGAAATTCGAGGAGCAGAAAATGAGCGATAAAGACAAGTATGAATTAAAGCCGAGTAGAAAAAAGGAGCACTTTAACGTGCCGCGGAGGTCACCGATCCGCGACCATCCGATCTAACCTACATTTGACAATCGAAAGCAAGGTTATGTGAACAATTACGAGTATAAATTATCACACGGGAAACAAATAATACACTTCGGATGTTAGAATTTGGTGAGAAGCGCGAAAAGCGCGACGAGACTTTTACGAGGAGCCCGCGGATCCGTCTCGTTTTGGCATTTTGGCGTCTCCGCGTAGAGTTCACGACCGTTGCGTCGTCGAGTAGCGAGCTAGTAAAGTACCGCGAGAACGACGCGCCAACTTACCGTGTTCACTCTCATGCACGTATTCGCCGTTCAAGAATTAAAAAAAGCACACGTTCTACACCGACGATTGAATTATATCGATGCAAATCACAAGCATAAAAGGATCAAACACACAACCGCTGATTCCCGCGCACGACCAATTTCGTACCTCGTTTCACACACAGTCGTCATTCCTCATCGTATCGCTCTCACTCACTCACTCTCTCTCCTTTCCCTCTCTCGCTCTATCTTTCGCATGTATTCTCTCGTCTCTCCCGTTTCAGTCTCCGCTACTTTTCCGTCGGTCACTAGCGAGGAGGTCGACTCGACGAAGTTGCGCGATACCCACCGAGACTGTTCTTCGTCGTAACCCCGTGCTCTTAACCTCATGCGAACCGCGTCTTTGACACACCGGTCGCTGGGAACAAAGTGCCAGAAGCGTTAGTAACTACTGCGTCTTCCCGAAAATCCAACCTCAAGATTTTCGAAAATAATAAGATGGCTGGAAAAAGTTTACGCGACCATTGCGGACAAACCGCAGCGACGATTGGCTCGCTTGTGCGAACACGACCAATCAGTGTTGTGCTAAGCGGCTGTTTTTTCGTGACGCCACGACAAGCGTTGCCGTACTCACGCAACACGTGCGTTTTCATTTGGATTCGGGAATTTATCACTTGACGAATAAAATTGCGAAAATATGCTATATACGTGAATAATAAAATATACGAAATATATTTGATCGTAATAATAATAATGATCAATGCTGTAATTGTTTTTCTTCAAGAAAAGGATACGTACGATTATTCGCCAAAGAGTTGTAACACTTTTTATTGGTTTCAGAATACACAAAAGTCGCCAAGACGGTCTTGCGATTCTGATGCGTTCTGAAACTCAAAACCTAAAGTACTCGTTATTGCATTCACCATGTAGGATTCACACTACACTTATTATTCAAGGTTCAAGACACACAGTACATACATACTTAAACTTTTAGTTAAATACTTTTACATCAAATATATCATTTTTGAATACTCACGCATAACTTTTTATTAAGAAATCCAAAGTTATTTAAGTATATTGTTAAAATCTTTCGTTCTTAAGGAAAAGTTGTCGGTTGATTGGCTACCGCGTTTCCTTTTACCGCGCGGCAAGCATTACCGTGTCCTGCCGTATCCTGCCGTGTCCTGTGTGCAGGAACTACAATGAGGCCCTACACACTTTTGACTATAAAAATGTGGACTGCTGGTTATCCCCACTTTTCCTATTTAACCCGTATATAAGGATATGTATCCAACATCTTTCGATATTTTTCCAGATTTTGGCTCCGCCACGTGCGGCAAATTGCGGGAAATTCAAATAAGAAGGATGCAAGGATTAGACGTAAAATTGCAGGCTGGAGTCATTTATTTCCTCTTTTTTATATTTCCTCGAGTCGCAGCCTTCCACAAAACAATATAACACCATTTTTATATATTTAAATTATTGTCAAAGATTCAAACTGATATTATGCACTAAACAACCACGCACCTTTGATACGCACACTATTGTATGGATTAATTATTCCCGGCCCCGTTGCCACACGATGTCGCCACAGATCTTGGATATCAAGTCAAGTTGGCTTTAGCAATCTATATTTTCATAATCAAAGCTACGCACAATAAAAAAATTAGGAAGAGCAATTTGGAATTATTTTACTTTAAACAAGAAAACGGAATGGATTAATTATTTCTAATTCTTATTTCCTAATTTATGATACATTAATCCATTTCATTTTCTTGTTTTGGAATAAAATAATTTCAATTTCCTAATATTTTCTTTATTGTGTATTGAGCTTAAGACTTTATGGTGTTTTCGATTGGACAGATTTCGATCGACCAAGGTTGATTAATAAAATTATTGCATTGTTGAATTTGTAGTAAAATGCGTGAATTTAAAGTGTGTTTAATAAAAATAAATTCAATGTGTGTAGTGATTAATTGATCCGAGATGAATCAAAATTAATTGATGCTTGAAATAATCATCCTAATTGTAATAAAGCATGTCATTGCTGATGTATACGCTACTGAGATCCGCTCACGCATGCGTACTATGCATGTGTACTCATGTGAGGAATGTGTGATGGATCTGTTCTTCCGTCGATTTTACTGCTGCTGTTTTCACTTGATATTTGATTAATTTAGTGCATAAAAGGACTTTAAATATTACAATATTATAAGAAAAGATTATTTGTTTAGTGACGTGGAATTATTTGCTCAATTTGTGTAATTTTTGTATTTCGGAAAAATGGCAAATAGGAGACCACGTCGCACACGTGCGCTGATAAATGAGAGAAAGGTTCACAATCAGCCAAAGACTAACGATAAAATTCAACCTGTAAAGCAAAAAGCTTTAGTTCTCGCGCAAGAAATTAAAATTACACGATTGTTAGCTAATAATGATAAGAAAGTTCGAGATAAAGTATTAAAAAGATTGAAGAAATGGTTAGTAGTACGATCTCAGAGTTCATTTGGTAAGTTAATTTGCAGTATGTTATTTTATACATTATATAATTAACATAAAATCAGTTTTACTTGTTGAACAATGAGCAATGGTTAAAACCTAAATGTTACAGGATCGTTATTTTGACAACTGTGTTAAGATCCAGGATCATTAAAAAGAATTCTGTTCAAATTAATGTTTGGTGTTTATATTATGAGACTCAAATCGACCTCAAAAGCTAACAATTTCATATTTTACAGAATTCACAAAAAAAGATTTTTTTACTTTGTGGAAGGGCTTATTTTATTGCATGTGGATGTCCGACAAAATGTTAATCCAAGAAGAGTTGGCTGAATCACTCAGTAAATTAGTACATTGCTTCAATGTAAAAAATACTGTTGTACTTTATACCAGCTGTGCATTGAAAACACTTGCTAAAGAATGGTTTGGCATTGATCAATATAGATTAGATAAATTTTCCATGGTAATTTTTCTCACTTTTTTTTAATAATACTTGGTAATCCTTTAAAGTAGTTGTGAATAATCTTTCTGCTTCTGTCTTTTTACAGTTAGTTAGAAGAATACTTCGACAAACATTTGTAGTTTGCAAAGATCAATTATGGGACATTGAATGGGTAACAGAAATTTCACAGGTATTTGAGGAACTGCTTTTAAGTCCACAAACTGGCTTGGGTTTCAGCCTGCATTTAACGGAGATATATTTAGAAGAGCTTGCAAAGGTATATAAAAAATTGGAGTAATAAAATATTTTTGTATTAAACTGTTCTATTTAAGTTTGTTTAAGTTGCATAAAAGATTTTTGTTCAAATGATTGTTATATAGGTTAGTGGTGGAAATATACCGACAGATGTAGTTCATCAGTTTATTAAACCGTTTGTTGTATATCTAACAACAACAAAGGATGACCGACAAATGAAACACGTTAATCGCCATGTCTTCAGGTACTTGATATTTCAATCCGATATAGGATTAGATTATATGGAGAAATTTGAAGCTTGGAAAGATGTAAGTATATATCTTAATATGCAATTATATCATAATATATTTAATATAATAGTTCTCTTCAATATATATTTATAAACATATGTTTGTAAACAGGCTGGTTTTCCTTGTACACATGTGGATAATATGCAAAAAGTAGAGACATCTGACGTGGAAGAAAATTCTGATAACGAAAATGAACAGCTTGAAAACGAGGTGCAAAGTGAAGTGATTGAAAAACCTTTAGATCCAAGAGCTGGTAGAGTCAATGTGGAACTGCCGCAGATACCTTTCGATGCTGCAAATATTGTTGAATTACTTAAACAATATCGTTTTCACCAGCAATCGTCATCAAAATCACGGAGACAAATTTTGAGGCTTCTTGTAGAGTATGTATTGTGTGTTGTATATATCTGCTAAATTATGACAGCTACAGCTATTCTAAATTGTATTTTCCTTCTAAGCAACAAATTTTTATTCATATTACATTTTTAGATTTCAAGAATTAGCAAAGGGAAAGATGCCTCTTGGAATAAAGAGAGTGAGAAAACCACAAGTTCAAAAGGGAGAAATGAGTACAAAGCAGGCTGCATTACGTCTTATTGAATTTGAGAAGAATCTGAAAGGTAATGAATCTTCCATTGATAATCCAAAATGTGAAAACAACGAAAATCTGAATTCTGACGTGGAATATGGATACTGCTGACTCAGAAAGTGATACAGCTCTGACTACAAAGCCCAATTTGGACAACGCAGAAGTAAATACAGCGTTTTCTAAAAAACGGAAGAACGAATTAATTGTTGATAAATCTGACGATATACTTGAACCTGCAAAGAAGAAGAAGAAGAAACTGAAAACAAAACCTTGTAACACGGATGAAAAAGTTGAATTGAAAGATGCGCATGATACTGATATGGCACATAATAATTTAAAACGTAAGAAAGCAAAAAAAGTACAATTTCCAAATGTGCAATCATCTGAAAATGTACAGTGTACTTCACCATCACCAATTTTTAAAAAAGGTCGGCCAAAAAAAATTGATAAGTCTGTAAACAATACTTTATCAAAAAATAATGTTTCACAAAACATAGTACTAAACGATACCACTGTAACGTCATTGAAAAGGTAAAGTTTTAATTTTGAAATTATTTATAATTGATATTTTCATAAATTATACATATAATTATCATGTTATTGCAGAAATTACCAAATAAGGTTAAAAAACAGACTAATTTGAACAATTCAACAGAGAAGAAAAAAGTGGTATTCGGACTTTCCCGAAATTCTGCACAACACAAGTCAGAATATCTTCAACAAGTTCGTAAAAGCCCAGCTATTCCTTTTGATGCAAATAAGAAACCGTTAGCTGGTGTGTTAAAAGCAAGCCCTATAGCAAGTCCATTGAATCCATTTTACAAAATAAAACACAGTAAAAAGACATAAATAATTAATTTTAAATTTTAGACTACATTATCAAACATTTTGGACAAATTATTTTAGCTTTTTCCTCATATGCGATTATTGATTGTATTGTCATCAATTTCTTTTTTTTTCGATAAAATTGTCTGTATTATATCCTCAAAGACATAATAAAATGAATAAACAATTATATATAAAATATATTACTGACAAAAAATATCAAGGTAAATTTATAAAAAAATATTAAAAACTTTTTTTAATAGTGCATCTTTACATAACAAACGAATAAGCTGTATAAATATATACTACTACACTCTGTTAATGCATTTAATTTTTTTATATGCTGGGCTTATTAAAAATTGCATTTGTTTTACTTAAAAATTTTGTGGCAAAAAAAATCATATTTCGTATTTTAGGATATAAAAATCAATCACACTTTTTGTCACATAATGCAAGATGTAGAAAATTTGAATTTTGCATTGTATAGTTGAGAATATTTTATAGAAATATAATAGGAATTTGCGTATCAGAGAAATCATGTACATAATAGAAATAAAACTACAAACAATTGACTCGAAATTGTACACATTTATTTTAGATCTATTACTATATTGGGTTGAGTGACACAAAATAGCACAAGTATATACATTCTAGGAACAATTGCGTAATGAAATTAATTGTTGCTAATGCATTTTTTCTTGTAATCCTGTTTCTGTTTTCATCGTAATTTTCATTGTGCAAGAATTTTGATAGAGTATACAAATATACACGTGTGACTATTTAGAGTACATACTTCACATATATTCTAACACATTTTGTCACGACTTATCCCTAAATGCACCATATGCAATACATTACAGTCTTAAAGATTGTACACAACGCGGAGTGTGCTTTTACATAGAATATTTCACGCATTTACGGTGCTGATAACACATACATACACATGTAACAATTTTTAAGACTATTCGCACATTTACATCATTACACAACAGTTTAATTAACGTCTATTTGCACAAGAAAAAGTCTTAATGCAGGATTCATTAATGACTAATTTGAAGCATTTGCCGATTTATAAGACGTACACAGATAACACAGATTGTTACAATTCTATTTTCTATTAGAGGTATATAAAAACAATTTGATTAAGTACGTTCCAGGTACTAATTATAGATTGAAGAAAATACGAGCTTATATTTCCAACATATTTCTACATATACACCATGATGGCCTACAACTGTACAGAACGAACTTTTATAAAACCCTAACTGCTTATATCACTTTGGCACATGAATTCACTTTTAGTTATGCTCGAAATGTAGTTAATCTACATTGTTTTCATCGAGAAAACCGAATATTCTCTAATATATATCCACTATACAAATTTCTCTAATTTTATGAGACATTTATACAGGTTTCATATTATAAAATATCTGCAATTTCCACATTCTGCATTTATACTTCAAGAATCATAATAATTTTATACCAAACGAAAAAAAAACGTATGTACCTACTATATAAAATTTCTATTCTCAATGATCAAAAGGGAATGGCGTACAATTGAAAAATGGAAAGTTAATTATATATGTATATATTACTTGGTTATTATAAAGTTTACGAAAATTGCAGTCAAAAATATTTTAAATCAGTATGTTTATAAGAATATTTTATTTGTTTGTACCAACATTGATCAGAAACTTGTCGCAGTAAAAACTAGTTCTTTGAAAATTGTTTTGATAAGAAAGTTTCTGAGAAATTTATATTTAATATATACTTTTTTATAAATATAGACGTTTCATGAAATATGATTTTATTTTGACACAAAATACCAATCACTTTGTGATCAGAGACGTGATCTTTACACATCTTAAGGAGAATATATCATAAATATGTGATTATTTGTAGTATAAATTGAATACCGAAGGAGAGAAACAGACTTTTATCATTATGGAAAGTTAGAACTTTGTATTGATGGGAATCTTTTTTATACGCTGTACTACGTGTTCAAAACGTTACGACGTCGAGACATGTTGTAAAAGGATTAAAATGGGTGCAATTGCGTATAACTACATTAAAATGTGATATTGCACAAGAATTCTTGGAATTATATGCACTCTTCTAGCTTTACGATTTTATATACAGTGTTATCACAGAGCTACCAAGATTCTCTAGAGAGAAAGAGAACTAAAGAGAATCAAAACATCCTTCCGATTAACTACGTTTTGCCCGAAAGGTAAAACTTTTCCAGCGCCAATACCATCCCATCTCGATCTGACTGAAACCGGTACTGAAAATCGACAGTCCAATGAAAAACACCGCGTGAATCAGAGTCCACAGTTGGAATATCGGAGAAACGATGAGTAGAAGCGCCGCCAGTCCTGCGAGGAGAATTCGTCTTTTCATTATCGTTTTCGATTGGCTAATCAAAAGATTATTGGTCGAAACCTACCTGTCAATATGCTCCAGAACCCAAACGCAGCTCGCAACGGTAGCATCTTCGGCGTCGGCCAGATTTCGGCGGAGAACGCCTTCCGTTCGTAGAACTGCTTCAGTATGCCCTCCTTGTCGGACCATCTGTTTTCCAGCCACCTCCTCAGGGTCGAATCGTGCATCGGTATGTCCGCGGACGATATTCGCTTTATATGGAAGTGCACCTCGCCCGGGAATTTCCCCTTGATCAGATCGAGCTCGGACTGCGGTATGTAGTCCGGATATCCTATCGTCAGATCGTACACGGCGTCGAGATAGCTCGCGTGCTGCAGGTGTTGGACGAGATAAGTGAAGCCCGTCGTTTTCGGATGCAGAGTGTAGTCGTATCGCTGTAGACTTTGCTGCACGGCGTACTTGTCTGACCTTTCCTTGCTGCTCTTCGTCAAATCGGTGCCCTCGGGAAATATCAGCAACTGCGAGCGGCTGTCCAACGTGATCAGGTAATCAAGGGTGCGCGATAACCGGCCTTGATCCTCTTCCCAGCGTCGCGTTATATAAAGGAAACCATTCATTTGCATTATCCATCCTGTTATAGGTGCATGTAAAGTGTGAGAAATATATATATTGTATAAAACCGTTGGGATTACTTTGAAACTTCATACGTGCCAGCAATTGTGAAAGTGGGCTAAGTCGGAAATCTTGAAAAATTGAATTTATCACATACTTCGTGTTACATCAATTTGCATTACAACAATGTTGATGTTTTTACATAACAAAAAAATATTTTTAATACACACACCACGCAAAAGTTGAAATATCTCAAAATAAAAAATTTAGCCCACCTTCATAATCACCGGCACATATGTTATATATAGAAATTATAGAATGTTACCTGGACCAGGAATATGCCGTATGGGATCTTTCAAAACAAATTTCAATTTATGACAGGCTACGTTAGGCATACACGCTTGATACATCGCTGCCCATAAGAAGTTCCAGTCCACTCTTGTCCTGTGATTCATCACGAGCACGGCCGATTCATGAGGAGATATATGATCGCCAGACACATAGATCTTTACACCAAACACGTCCAACAGGGCCTAAAATGTACAATAAATACTTATATATGCTATACTTTATTTAAATCAACTCAAGATATCACATAAACAAGAATAATAGACACTGTCACAAAAAATACATGGAATTTGTAAATTATTGAATAGATTCGTGGTACACTTACGGTAGAATAAAGTTCCCAGCACGAGAATAAAAGTTCTCCGCATTTTCGAAATCTCGGTGGACTGAATAGCAACAATGGCAAAAGTGGACAGGCGATAAATAAAAAGCCTGCTACTATACTACCATACCACAGTGCACAGTACAATGTACCACGTAAAAATCCGCCCATTACAGTCTGGAAGCAGAGACCCTGAAAATAAAACGTACAAGTGCAAAAATTTTCAACAATCATGACAAATAACATCGCGATAAAATTTTTATTTGTGCCTAGAATGTTGATGCGATTCTTAATAACGACTTTATTTGTCTAAATTTTTAGACAAATAATTTTAATGTAGTAATCAATTTTTAATCAAAATAGTTCGAATCAATATTTTGTTGCGCACAAAATCTTTCTTAACAGTCCGCAAATATTTCATAACAGACCTTTATTATTACAATTTTTCCAAAACAACTAAATTCTAATTTAAAGGAAAGTTTCTAAATGTTAACCGATATAAAAGACACGACGCAAATTTTGAATGCATGTGATTCGGAGACCAAATACGAATTATCACACGTTACGATGTCGTGAAAAAATAAAGCACGTTTATGATACGAGATTTTTATTTGATATATCACAATTATACTAAATGTTTGTATGTATTTTCTGTAAATTTTAACAAAAATGTTGCTATCGTCATAAGTTGTTGCGCCGCTATTGTGTAATGTTATATTTATGTGACAACTTGTAACAATATTGTCGTTAAAAAGTTATAGAACAGACATGCTCTGCGGTGTGCAGAAAATTCAGGCTCAAATATCGGATGAATTTTACGCTTGAAGAATAAACGGCAAAAAAAAAAACAAAACAATGTATTTTTGTAACTCACCTTCACATGTGCACTGTGCAATTGAAGCACCTTTTATGAACATTGGATCTCGACTGTTTCCTTGTGAAACACCGTTTCTTCACTGGCTTCCTCCTGGTTTTGTTACAAGGGCTTCTCTCTGCCACCCCTTTCATCCCTCACTCTCCACCCAGTTTCCACCACTGTGTTGGAGGATGCTGTGTTGGACCATTATTGATCTGTTGAGCACGGATGGAGCTGCACGATCTCAACAAAGATTGGAGAGTTCTGCAACTGACAATCAATTGTTCTTCAACATAATGTCATATCACTAGACTTTTAGCATGCAAAAGTATTTAATATTTGATTTTATACTTCTTCATCTTGCATTAAATATTGTACTCCTATAATATTTTATTACAGTTTACACGGTAGAAAATAAAGCATAATTTTTTAATATAAGTTTTTTTACTAGAATTTTGAAGTAAAATATTACATTATATTTGAGTAAAATACTTACAATTGTTGTATAGAAGAGAAAGAGAGAGAAAAAAAGAAATAATCATTGATATTTTTAAATTCAAAATGAGTGAACTTACAAATATTTGGTGTGTTGTTATAATACATTATTTTTATTAAGAAATAGACGATAAAAAGATAAAGTTATAATTATAATAGTAAATTTACAGTTCATATAAGATATATAATAAAACTTGACAGGCCTATTATTTATACAATAAAATAATAGTTTTAATGCATTTTTCTAGCCGTTCGTCAAACATGTTTCCCCTAAAACACTTTGTATGCTTTTTCGTTTCCAATGAAGCATACACTAGTTTTATTTTTACACAGTTTTATATAAAAATCAATAAAATTGTTATCTATATTTCCACCTCCATAATTAAAATTGCTCGTATATTTACCTTTCCCGTTTAACTATAAAATTCATGTTTAACTATAAATTGCTTACGTATATCACGTGATTAATATATTAATGTTTGTAACGTATGGAATGAATATATTCAGATCTATTAATGCTGCTGCTACTGACGATATTTCGAATATTTAGTAAGGAGTTCACGAGCATTATTTTGTGTTTTTTCATCATCTTTGCTTGTGACTGGCGAATCACAAGTTTTTTCTAGCCAGTTGCAAGCCTGTTCATACTCGCTCAGTGCTATATAACATTTACTGAGAAACAGTCGATTTTCTAAGTTCACATCAACTGAATATTTTTCCACTTTTTGGAAACTATCGATTGCGTCTTCGTACGAGGCACTTGGTGGCTCCGAGAATAATGTTGCAGCAACCTACAAAAAAAAAAATAAATTACTACCTTGATTTTTTTTAGCGGAAATATCGAGAAGTTATTATTTTTACAATTTTCCAATTTTTAACATTACATGCTTTGTAATTAAGATTAAAATTAAAATTCTATCAAACCTTGTTTCACTTATTAACTGCAGAATATAATTTCATCTATTTATTTGTTTGAAGCTTAGTTCTTAAAAAGTGTTATTTTCAATCTTTTATAACTTAAAAATTATCTATCGAGAATCATAGTAATCTATTTCAGTAATAAATAGAAGATATGTTTTTAAAACACTTTTTCCAAATTTTACTAGTACATTCTACTAATTATCCTAATAAAAAAGAGCTGCAAATACATAGCTTAAAAGTTACAGACATTGTAAATCGCAAATATATAGATATTTCTTTGAAAAAGAATTTAATTCAAAATTAATAAAAATATTTATGATTCAAAGATAATGAAAAATTCATTTTTATATATATTCAATATTATCCATTGAAAATACCATTAAAACATATACCTTTCTCTCTATCCAACTTAAGTTAGCCACCTCGTATTTGAATCTACCGAGTAGATAATGTAAGTCAGAGTCATGCGGACTTATCTCCAAGGCTTCCAATACAAGTTCCTTGAAGCGGTAACCGTTTTTTATTTTCTCTGTTACTGGCAAAAAATCGCCATATACACCTACAAGTATAGCGCACCATTTGTGCAAATCTGCGTTTGATACAGTAAGAAGTTTCTCGCAGGCTTTAATTCCTGAAAAAATAGTTATTGCGAATAAATATTCTGTTCGTGAGTGTAATCAGATATAAAGTAAAAAAGGAGACAGTTTCAGCTACAGTCTAATGATTGACTATATTATGATTGACTTTCTAACACTATAATTATTATTAAATTATTAGAGTGACATATGGTTCTGTCACAATAAAAACATACTAACAGAAAAAAGATCATAAAAAACCACAGCACAGACGTCAAACTGCAAAAAATTTTATTATCAAAAAAATTCATGTATTTTTTTGATAATAAACTTTTTGCACTCTGATATCTGTGCTGTGGTTTTTTATGATCTTTTTTCTGTTAGTATGTTTTTGTTGTGACAGAACCATATGTCACTCTAATAATTTAATAATAATGATGGGTTCTGATAGGATCTTTTGTCTGTTAATATTTTATTAAAAGTTAGCTAAAATGCATTTTATGGTTTCAAAAAGTCAATCATGGCATGTGGCAGTGGATGATAAATATACTAGTTGAAATTGTTCCTTTCTGTCCTATCCAGTTGTATGTGAATTCTATTACGTACCTGCATCGAGAGCAGCTTTTTGTACATCTGGATCAGTGGTACAATATTCTGAATATTTGTAACAACTTCTGGCATATCTCCAAATTACATCTACATTATCCGGATAAGTGTCTGCGAGATTTCGTAGTTCAAAGTAATCATCTTTTTCGTATCCATCTTGTTGATAATGTAAATCGAAGATGGCAAGGTCTAATCCAAGGCAGGTGGCTTCAATTGTCCTGCATCACTAAGCATATAATCTCTTCCTTTTAAGTCTCAAGTTAAAATTCTTATATAACAAAGAAAACGAACACTAGGTGTCTTACATGGAAACAAAAAAACTTTTTTTAACCTATAGGTGCACAAGAAGCTTGGAGGTAAAATAACTTTTGATCCAAAATCAGTTTGAAAATATGCTCAATACAATACTCTTCATAATATAAGAGCAAATTTAGAACTGTAATAATTAATGAATGAACAGCAACAGTAAACTGACCTGTTTTCAATATCGCTAATGCCATTTTCACTATCTGAGCAATCAAAGAATTCATCCTCGCCGATATCTGTACCAGCTGTTGAATAGACATCTGTATCATCTGTTACAGCTAATGTATTATCATTGTCATTTTTACGATTAAGCTGCTTCTTCTTCTTCCTCCTCTGTTGATTTTGCTGCACTCTAAAACAAGATAAATCAAGAATCACATATTAACTTGTCTCAGTCAAAAATAGAATATTTCTAAAGTATTTGATCAAATTTTATTAGCGTATTCTACCCTTATAAAAATTCATATATAGATCTACAAACACACTTTCAGAATTATAGACATCCAAGTTGTATGATAGAAAAGTTCTGATATTTAATTAATCAAATTAATAATTGATCAGAGTTTGATGAAATAATTAAAAATTATTCTGCATACTTTAAAATATCAAAGTATTTATCTATATATACCTCAGTCTTTCTAATTCTTCTTGCAGCTCAGCTAGACGGCGATCCACTTCATCAAGATGAGCATTTTTCATAGAATGTTGTCGTTTCTCTAAGACTTTCTGATAAATAAAAATACTAGCTGCACTTATAACGCCAATAGTTGCCCCAATAGCAGCAGCAATTAAGTGAGTCTGCAATTGTTGACTCATCTTTGAACGAGCAAACCTCTAATTGAAAAGCCGACGTTTGCTGGAGAAACGAGAAATATGAAATCATAAAATCTTATATCTGACAGGCCGAATCGTTCTAGATTACTAGAACGTTATGCACTCTAACATCGAAATGTACATACGCACTCGTATCCACAAACTGTAACCCCGGACGGCACGAATTTGCCGCGTTTATCATGTGACGTCACAATTCGCAGGAGTAGTGTATCATTCCAAATTTTGTTGCTATCGGCGTGCTCAAAACTGCGTTGAGATCCTGATCGCTCGATCTTTCTTCCGTGATTTTCACCAAGTTACCTAATCGCCGAATAACCTTAGTACTATATCGAAAGATCACTTCGATGCCACGTGTTAGTTCTACTTCACGGGAGCGCAGTGGTGCGGTGATAGTAGTGTGCGTGCGTGCGTGCGTCGTGCGTGTTGCACTAAAGGGCAATCTAGGGCAATCGTGACAAACTGTCACGGGCGATGTATATTCTTATTTTCTTTTCATTCAGCACGGTTTCACCCTCCTCATCCGTCGCTTCGATTCTTAATCAAACTCTTGATACGCTTATTTGCTTATAACTGGTTCTCTCTCGACATTTCTTTGTTTTTTTTTGTTTCGAATATCAAGTTTAAGCAAATTTAACACGCGATAACGGACGCACGACCCCCCGAAAGCAATGTCGCCGGTATCAAAAATTGTTGCAAGTCATTTCTGATTTTTCAAGAAAAGACTGCGCCGATAAGTTACCGTTGCGATAGTTGAATGTTTATTGGCGTTTTTCTGGCATATTAACTGAACGATTAGAATAAATTAAAATACGAAGCATATAAAAATTTTTTACCTATGCACGCCGGTTGAATAACAACACGAGTGCAGAGAGAACTTTAGAAGGAACTATAAAGTGCACGTCACAGTTACAATTCCGGTTAGCGTAAAATATTTATTTATAGCAAACAATCAGAGAACAACTTTCTTTATAAATATTTCTTGTGTTTACTTGAATTATAAACAATTGTAATAAAAATATAATAATAAATATATTTATAACAAGATTGATCTTTTATTGAAAAAATAGTGCCTATAAAAGATTAGTAATGTTATATAGATGTAATTAGTTTTGTTAATGCAAAAAAAAATTGAAGGAGCACAACTTCAAAGAAGCGTGTTACTGTTATCATATATTTTATTATGTTCTTTATATATCTGTTAGAAGCTTAGGCATTCACAGGGAAAGTAGTTATAAAATTGAAATGCTTTATAAAACACGATTCAATATTTGCGAGAAAAATTATATGCAGACATGTTTTTACGTTTACACACATTAAGTATATTAAGCATTTAAGCACTCGATATGAGTGAATTCTTTTAAGCTATTTTCAGTATAAAGCCGATTCTTTTTACACTTTTTATACAATATCTAACTAGAATATTTTAAATATTGATTCATTCGCGTCGCAAATTCTCAAGCCTAGCTTGTAGATCTGCGTCAGCATCAGCGAGATTGCCTCCTTCTTCACCACCAGCTGCAGCAGCAACTGGCTGCTTCGAACCGGCTACACTTAACGATCCGGATGCTTGTGGTAATCCAGAGAGTTGATCTGTCAATTGTAGACCCAATTCGTCCAATACCTGAGCGACGACGGCATCACTGCAAAAATAAAATATTAATAGATATAATTCTTCAGCAATTTTATTTAAAAATATAATTTTTATTCTATAATAAATAGAGCAATACAATTTTAATTCTTTATTATATGCTAGTTTACAAAGCATATGTATAAGTATGTATAAAACTGCTTGATACCTTTCTTCTTCATCCCCTTCATCTTCCATCGCATCATCTATTGCATCATTCATAATTTCCTCTTTCATATCCATTATCTCTGATTGCTTTTCAAATTCTTGCAATATTTTCTGTATTTGTGGTAAGTTTAATTGTCTGTAAAAGTGAGATAAAAGTAAGTAATACTGATCAAATTATTATTCTGATGCTAAATGAATTAATGGATTATATTTTGTTGCTTCTAACTAACACAAATAACTTGTATTAATAAATTATTTAATGAAAATTGCTAAATCATATTATACTTACTTGTTCATATTTTGCATAGCCTTTGTCACTCCTTTCATGGCTTGTGCCATCGTGTTCTGAGAACGTAGAGTCTGTATTTTTAAGGACACTGCTTGAATGTTTGCTTTCATCAACATAAACTTCTTGATGTAGCGCCTTGTTCTAACTAGATCTTTAGCCATAATTTTTACAGCATCCTGTAATAATTACAATAGTAAAAACAATTTAGAATTACAATATTATAATAACATACAACAAAAGTTAGGTTACCATTTGTCCATCCTTTGCAAGCTTTTTTATATCAGCTATAATTTTCTTTTCCTGTTGCTCCATTCTTACTTTCTCTCTATCTAAGTCCCGCATCGCTTTGTTCAATGCTCTTTGATTTTTTCTGAGCATTTCCTCAGGGGTGATACGCTTACCGAATAACCACTCCATGGTTTCTGAAACATCATAATTATTCAATTAATCCATAAGAAAAAGATGTAAATATAAAACTGTTAAATAAAATAAATACAAAAATAAATGGAAGCATAAATGTATATAGAAAATGTCTCAAAAAATACACCTTATTTTACATCAAAATTGCAACCAACACTTGCAACTTCCAGTTGCAAATGTATCGCTAGATTTATATCATTCTCGTCATATTCGATCGATTCATGCTACTTATATATACAAGTTTCTACAGAATTTTCAGTATTTGATACTATGCTATATGTATTCTATGAATCACGCATTTGAAAGACTTAATTGAAAATGTTTAAAGCTACGTTTGTGACGAATTTTTACGCTCAATCCGCTTCGATTCTGTTTTAACGCAAAAGGTGCTGTACTTATTACTAATATCCTTAATTCATATTATTTGCAAGAATGTGAGCGTACAAATGTCAAAATGATGGAATTATAAAACCTGCAATTTTACCAGCTATTTTGTCAGAATGTGTATCACGTCCTAATTATCAAGCAATTTTCTCAGATATTAGATAGCGTCAAGAATGACATCACGAGCGGTGTTAGCGCTCTTTTGACAGATCGTGTACAGTAACAATGGCCATGGATTAAAAAATAATTAGATCACTCGTATGCGTACAGAGCAGTACGTCATATTGTTGACACAATTAACAACCAATCACGTTTTAGTTTTAGTTCGAAGCGGTCAACAACATGGCGGAGCCAATCAGATTCTTTAATTTAGGGACCTATCCAGCGCCGCCTGTCGCGTAAAAATCTATGACGGAACCATAATAACAAAGATACATAAAGTAATGTTTTTCGTATTAAATAAAAACTTAGAATACTATATATTTTAAGAAAATTTTTTATGAAAAATATAAAAAAATGAAAGAAATATTTGATAAAGCAATATATATGCATGTTACAAAACACAATTGTATATATTGCATAAAGAGTAAATTTATTAGACGTTGTAAGTATATAAAACACATAACATTTGCATCTTGTGAAAAAGCACAGTATATATGTGAATTTATTTACGTAAATAAATCGACACTTGGACGTTCCAAAAGAGAAGAATTAGATTTCTTAAAAACGTTTTGGCTACAGCTGTTAGAGTCAATTGCTTTCTTCATTTTTTTACAAGAATTTATTTAATCCCATGTTTTCACTCGAAGCTCCGGGTCTAGAACAGACCAATTTGGCGAATGTTTCTCACTGGATAGCCAATTGAAGTCATCGATACAGTTCCAATTGTTAACCTTTGGATCGAGGCCAGCTAGATTAAAATGACTTGTCTGATCTTCATAAGACCAGTTGTAAGGTGCTACACGTATTTTTGTACAATCTTCTATAATCGCTCTACTTGTGACATGCAAATAAATGGTACAGTCTGTCGATGAGTGTAATCGCAATTGTTGACATGCAAAAGCGAATACACATTCATTGCAGTCGTGTGCGAAAACAGAGGATGTCACCGGTCCGACCAAAATGGTGCACTGTTTCAGATTCACCATATGTAATGTGCTGGGTGTACCATATATTCGCACAGTACAGTGAACTAGGTCGGAGAGTAATATATCATTCTTATTTACATTCTCGGCATCCAATACCAGTTGCTCGCTCACTTTACCCAGCAGCATGCAAGCACTGTCTCCGTATTTGCTTGATAATTTATTGTTTTGCTTGGTTGAGCCATTTACGATGCCTTCAGATATCTTGAGATCCTTCAAGCCGTCCGTGATGTCGTGTCCCTTGTCAGAGGGCTTCTTCACAATTCTACGATTCTTGAATCCAAACTTTTTCTTAGGCAAAAGCTTCACCTCTAGCTCGGAAGCTTGATTTTCTAATAATTGCAAATTCTCCTGTGCGCGTCTTATGTCGTAGACTTTCAGAAACATTTTAGATTGCGATAAATAGTTCTTAAGCAACTGGATTTCTTTGTTGGATTTCTCAAAAATTCCCGACAGAGCGGAAGTTGGTGTGTTAGGAGCGTCATCCAGCATATCCTTGATTTTCTTGCAAGAAGAATAAAATGTTTCTTTAAAGTAACTACTTTGCTCAGATTCTACAGCAAGCGATTGTCGTTCTTCTCTTCGCCTCTCAATGATATTCTTTCGCTCGCGATCTCGCTTTGTAATACGATCTGGCAAACTTCCTTCTATAAGTTCCGTAGAATCCATGTTAATGTATAAATGCTATTTTTCAACAACGTTTGCGCTGTTTCGAGTCCTGGATTCCTGGGAACTAATATTTGGCCTTATGTTCATAAATCCTTCAGTTTTCTCTTTATATCGCTTAAAAAGATCCTGCTTCTGTGCTGAATAAGGTGGAAGATTCTGAAATAAAATCATTGTAAATAAAAAATCGAAATACCTTTTTTAATTAAGTATAAATTTTTTGAATAAAGAAAAAATACACGATGTATGTAACAAAAATATACAAATGTATGCAACTTTTAAAAAAAGGTGGAGAAATACTTTCACAATACTACATATTTAAAGACATTTTCGAACTATTCATCTAAAAATGCATTACATAATCGATGAAAAACTTTATGAAGACACAAAAAGTATACATACATAATTATACGATTGTAAGAATTATAATTATAATCTATAATTACCTTCACAATTTCTGAGTTATCAGGTGTAGCAATAACAAGCAAACCATATCCTAAACCTCCACCAAGAACTAACGATGCTATTAATTTCACGATCGCCATGAAGATTTAATTCTCATTGCGTTGTGTCCAGGTTGTGTAATCAAATGTTCTCAATTGATTGTTATCAGATAGTTTTTCTCCAATACTGTAATAGCTCTCTAGTAAGCTTGGAAAATGTTGATGCACATAATATCTGAAATCTGATGCAGAATTTAAAGAAATTAAAGTACTACTCCACACACAATCATGCTAATCAAGCCAAGTGATTTTGAAGCAAAGAAAAATTTTCCTTGCAGCACCATTCACATGTTTTATTGCTGCATCGATGCAATTTCATGCAAAAAAATTAAAATAATTCGATATATTCGTGATACAAATCGAAGCAAGAGCCTTATTCTTATTTGTCGTACTTGCCATTTTTCCTTTTACATCACAGCTTTTAAATACCGAAAATTTAACATGAACCAGTTAAAAAAAAACTCAAGATTAAAATTACTCGAAAATACATAAAAAGCAATATAATATATTTGAAAACATATATCGCGAGACAGAGTAACCTAGAAATTATCCTGCACAGCAATGCGAACAATTCACCTTGCGAGGTATTCATGCGATGCCAGATTCCATAAGATCCAAGTAAAAATACACCCTCCAATATAAGGATTGCTTTGGCACTGCTCTTAAGTTTTTGCAGGAGGTTGAATTTCGGACGTTTTGTGAGCATACTAGGGAGAAACGGGAAGATTTCCTAAAATGGAAATCATTAATAAGTGCGAGAAACGGAACTCGTAACGAAACGTCGCGCAATATCGCGACTGAATGCGCTTGGAAGGAAAGAACTACAAAGAGCGCTCTCGTCGATAATATAGAGTAGCGCTATACTCGTTGTCGATATAATTGAAATCTTTACGAGACTTTAGATGAACGAAATAGAACAAAATTTATAAATGTAGCAATATTCATATCGAGAAAATTGACGAATGTGCCTACAGAAATAATAATTATATTCTCAGGCTTTGTTAAATTTAAAAAAAGTTATTAAACATATGTAAAGCCAGCACCAGACTACGCAACTTGCAGCAATTCGCATGAGATTTAATAAATTACTAGAAATGCTGTGTGTTGTATGGTGAATTTTTAGTAGTTTACTAGATCGCATGCTTTAATATTAAATTCTTCAATTAAAAATATATTATCATGGCATCAAAGGTTTACAAAAACTTATAATATTTAATGAAGTAAATACTATCAATTTTGTAGTAAAAAAAAATAAAAAGAAAAAGTTTCCTCGTATGTAAGCCCTGTTTGGTTCAACGCAATCCTTCTCTTTCTCTCTGAAAGAAAGACAGAAATCTCATGCATTTTCACACACATTGCTTTACTTTGACCAACACTCTTGCACCCATCACGAAAGATCAGCCGAAGCTTCCTTTCTTATTTCGTGAAGATGGTGAAGGCTGATAGTAGTTCAAGCTACGGCACTTTCTGCCACGGGTCCAGGGACTTTCCTCAGAGCAGAATGAAAGAGTCACCAGGGACTCAGATAGTGGCTCCGTGGTGTTAGCCGAAGAAACTTCATTTCTATCTCTTGAATAAAGGTATATAAAGCAAAGTATAAACTGAAGAGTGCTACCGAGAAACATAAAAATCAGGTATTATTTATAAAATAATGATATATTACATTGAATTTCATCAACATAATAATTCTTTTCATAAAACTAAAGCTATTTTTATAATAGTAAAGTAATTTATGCCATTAAATAAAAAAATATATCTTAATTTTATATTAATTAACATTGAAATTTAACGTTAAAATTTAATATAATTTATATAGCAATAGAAAATGAAGTTTTTAGAAAGTATTTTTGTTATTCGTATAATACGCTGTATAGATACGGCAATTAGTTTATTTTAACAAGATGATTGTTACTATAAAATTTTAATTATTATAGACAAATATACTCAGTATAATCAATCAATTCAATTTAATTAATTACTCCATTTAAAAAGAATTATTAAATCTAGTTCTGTTCATTTGAAGAATAAAATTACTTTCGTGTTTCTTAACTAAAAAAGTATTTATAGAAATTACTCTTCTGTATATTAATTTATAAAAAAATATTTGTATGCAATTAAGCTCAGTAATAATATTTATAATATATTATTAATCAATCTATTCTAAGCTCTAATTCAGATTCTAAGATGACACATGTATTTTTGTGTTAGAATTTTCAATTTTAATTAAATTCTTCAAAGAAATATTATTGAAATTAATATTATTATACGATCGTTGTAAAACACCTTATATTTTGCACCTCTGGTCACCTCACACCACAAATGACACGTGACACACCGCACGCGCGTTCTGCGCCTCCTAGAGCGCAGAATCGACGGAGGGTCGCGAATGTCGGCTGGACGGACGGACGGATAGATGGCCGGTTGATCGGAGGGGAATGAAACGCTATTGCATCGCTAAATATAATACTGCGAGGCACGCGTTTCTAGTACTGTGAGTATTGTATTATACGCGGCACGGGGACGGCATGACGGCGATCATCGTTTAAGACCATTCGACGTGTATATCATCGTCTTCATCGCCTTTGACGGTAATCGCACGGATACCGCGAACACCGCGTATCTCTAAAAGCGGCCGGTGGAAAACGGGGTGGTGAAGGGGGGTTTTCCCAGGCAGAAGTGTCAGCAAATAAGGATCCGCAAGTGAGTCTTCTAGGGTTCTTGTTTTTTTTTTTACAAAAGTCTCTTCATCGGGAATTTATCGATTATCATCGTCGCGAATTTTAGCAGAGAATGTTTTAATTTGACTAACAATGAAGGTTAAAAATGTTACATTTTGCGAAGCTAATTGATCTTGATAAAAATCTTTGTTATATATAAATTTTAATTAAAATTATATATTTAGATTTTTAATATAATTATCTCTTTAATTAAAATTAATGATTATTGAAGAATAGAGAAACTTAAGAAACAATTTTAATCCTTTTATTTAAGTGTAATTTTATTAATCAATAAATATAAGACAATGTCTTAAAAATATTAAGAGACTAAAATACGAATCAAAATTTTAATTTAATGAAAATTACAATTAGTTATTATTACAATTTGAAATGTAACTTATATTCTGATGTTACATATCAGAAAATTATTTTTTATTGGCTTATCTAAGATGTCTCAGTGTCACTTTTAACATTTTCTTTTTCCTATTTTTCTTACGTTGCGTGTTTTGTTAATAGAGATTATTGTTAATACAGTTACGACATCGCTGCAAAATTTCTTGGATTACAAAAAAATCTATTCAAGAGATTTAAAAAATATTGTTGCGCTCAGAATATAACAGCGAACCATTCCAAAGCAAAATGATGCAAATTTTTCGATTGTTTGTTATTGACTCGATGTCATTTGCTCACGTGCCTGTTTTCAATGTCAATCTCATGGTTGTAGGTGTACGTGTCGTTCATATCGTCTACGTTTTGTTGAATAAACTAATTTGAATAAAAGAGGGTAAAAATGTTAAGTGGTTGAATATACTAATTGTAAGAGTATTTTACAAATATGTTTAAGCGGTAAACGGATCACAAATAAGAAACATCATTAAAATTTATTAATTAATCAAAAATATCCTGCTGTTATTTAAAAATTAATACTGATCAATAATCAAAATCGTTAAATAAATTGTTTTATAATGATTTTATAGAATAGAAAAAAGTCGAAGAATTGGAGAAATACAAAAATAAATTAAAAATTAAAAAATATGAGATTTTTTATTATAATTGGATATCTTTTTTTTATTGTTTTGATTTTTAGCGGCATATGGAATGTTATCCTAGCATACTGCGTGCGGTATTCGCGAATCAATAACAGAAGCAATTATCATTGCGTCATATGAGTGCAATATTTACAGTGTTAAAAAGTATCCCTATATTGTACTATAAAATTTAACCGCTTTATAATGCCAAATTTATTCTATATAGAAAGTAAACGTATTTTATACAACTATACATAAATATTTTATATCTTTTTTGTAAAGAGAGACTATTAATTTTAAAGTGTTTGTCATCCTAATGCGTTTTATTGGTAAAAAATTACGTGGAAAAATATTGAATATAATTATAAGTTTCATGTTTGTATATTTAACAGAAATGAGTATCCAGAAGCCTGAAGATCTTTTATCGGTGGTTATATCAACTGATCTTCCATCATCTCCGAATTCCCGACAGCTATTTATAAATCAGGATCAACAGGTGTGTTCATTACTATAATTCAATCTTCATGTCTTTAAAGTAGCACGTTTCCTTTCATTTACAGATTTTTAAATGAGTAAAGTAAAAAGAAATACCTCAATTGGAAAAGTTTCAATATTAATCCAATACTGGCGTCTGAGAAATTGTGCAGCATAGAATATGCATTATTTACTGAAATATTATATTGTAAAAATTGGAGAAAAACAAACAAAATTTATTAATAGTAATAAATAATTAATTAATTATTTAATTTAGACGATATTTAAATAATATAAAAAAAAATGCAATGACGCATTAATACTTCACAATCAGAGAATTTGCGAGAATTGCGAGAATTGCGTATTAGGGAGAAACAAATGACATTTTTCTGTTCTGCAAAATCCGTTCTGGGAATCTTATTTAATGCACATGTATTTAATAGGACGAAGAAGCTTCTGATTGCCCTTTATTAACACCAAGTCCACCACCTATCCAAACAGACAAAACTCTACAGTCAGCGCCGATATTTAATACTCTGGAAGGAGCCTCACTGGAAACGATACCTACGCCGACGCTTGAAAATATTAATACGGAAGACGGACTTAACTTCATGAATATAGTGAATAGTTCGAGCAAGCCTTTGAACGATGGTATGTTTACCAACTATGTTAATGAATATTAAAATTTTTTTAAATCTGCATACATATTTCAAATTCTTTTCTTTTTTTTATCGTTAATTTATGTATTCAATTTTTTAAATTATCTGCTCGTATTTATTTAGCATGTTCAATGAAGAAATTTTCATCTAAATAAATTTAGAGAATTGTGTAATTTATTACATTGTAATTACACAACGAAATAAGCTTTATTTATTTCATTTATTGTTTTGAAAGCTACATCTTAGATGATGATATATTTACATCAATATACAAGTTTATTGTTTTTTAATGAAATTTGGTATCGAATATATATAAAAGAATAAAAATATCAAAGTACCAATAGTTTTTATGTCGCAGTTTATCGAGTATGAATTCCGATCAATGAAGTTTTTTCTTTTCTACTACATTCATTAACTTACGACAATACTTTTGAGTCAAGAAACTTATATAATCGCTGCTACGAATGCCAACGTTCGTTAAACGCCAACTTTGTTAAAGCGCTTTGATAGGATCCAGTTTCAATTTAAGTGACGCAGACTGTCATTTAATCTTTTTGTATTCAGCGCGCGATATTAAACTTGTTCGTCGTTCAAGAGAACGAAATATCAAAAGAACGAATTCCATTTCATTGTGTGTGAAATATTTTACACAGATTTTTGTTTAAGAATTATTCTTTTCAAGCAAATTACTCTAAAATTTATTACAGTTTAACAATTTTTAAGATGTATATATTTTATTAGAAAAACTTGAGAATAAAAAGAGAAATTGATCATTTTCTAGATAATTCTTTAAATAATTAGTGGTTGAAAATACAGTAATAGAGCTCTGCAAAATAATATTAAACTGAGCGATTTAGTAGATGCCTTCTTATCTCTTGTTTAATCGCTCGTTTGTGTCACAAATTAGACAACTGCAATGTAAAACAAAAGATTAAAAAAAAGACAGAAACATGTTGAATACCTAATTACATTTTTTAGATAAATAAAGAACTTTGCTTAAGACATTAATATTGATATGTTCTATAAAGATTTGCTTTTTTGCGCTTTACAAATGGCATATCGAATGTTTCAGAGCCGAGTTCACGTGATCCCATGTTGGAATCTACTAGCAGCAGCGGTAGCAGCAGCGACACAAATGAACCCGTTTGCGCTCAATTATTAACACAGTTAAATACTGCCTATCAACATCTTGCACCGGATGCTCAAGCTTTAGTAAGTATAATGAATCGGGTCTTATACTTTCTCAGATTTTTTATAAATGAAATATGATTGGCATAAGGAGAACCATTTAGTCAAGAATTTATGCAGATTGGATAAGAGGACGATTGCGTTGATTTTACATAAGAAACGATGGCGATAATAGGAAAATGCTGTCTGAGAATCAGATTGTTATCTAATGTCACAATTCCTTTGAATTCTTAAAATCGAAAAGAAATGTTATTAATTTTTTTATTTTAAACTTAATTTCCTGAAAAATTAGATATAAACAAATTTTACTCTGATTGAAATTGATGTTTTTTTTATATGGAATCACTTTTTGGCTGTAATGACAAATTATTTTGCTCTAATTATACGCATATGTGCCTATTGTGCTTATCATATTTGAATGTTTATCATTGTAAAACTCACGAATTTTGTCTCTACGCAAAAAAGTAAAAAAAACATTGATGCTCTTTCATATTTACATGTATTTACATTTGCCTCACACGGGTGGGAAACACTTTGTGTTCAATACATCACGCGTGAACGATGTCGCGTTGTGATTGCACTCGCACAACTATAATACTGTTATACTCGCAACGTGTTTCTTTACATTCAGCTCTTTATCTCGAGCATTAACTTTGTCATTTCAGTTCGCACAGAATCTCAGTGCGAATAAGATACAACTAGGGTGACCATATAGAATTAGGATAACAATTCATAGAAACAATTTATTGCAGACTTAATTAGAAAAATTTTCATTGAAGTTAGGAATGTAAAGAGTGATATATGTATTTAATTTTTTATAATTATAAATACAACATTAGGGCTAATTTAAAGAAACTCAGAAGGGTGCTCTTTACAAAAGAGAACGTGCATCCCGGTGAATCGGTGCGTCTGGTCACCCTAGGATTGACACTTTGTCATTGCGTCGTCGCACGCTTAAAACAGGTGCAGGTATGTTTGACGAATGCCTGCTCCTTTATTCGATTGCCTCCACTGCCTCGCATCGTGATTGGAATGAATCCGAGAGATGTGTAAGAGAATTCCGGATCTTCCTGGTGATCTTCATCGATGTATACTAATCGCTTGCTGCTTTCTAACAACGTTCATACATACTCACGCCGTAACTGTTTAGTTTTACAACCAGGAGAACGGTGGCAAGCCACCGCTCGTTGGGATTCAGTTAGTGGTGCCGAAACCGCCCAAAGATTATCGTTTTATGAAATGGAACTGGCCATTGATACGAAAAACGTGCTACTGGTCGCTGATGTCGATCTTGACTGGATGCGCCGCCCTCGTTATCGGTGTTATCGCTACGATGCCCAAGAAGTATGTGTTTACGCAATTATATAAATAATAAATAGATGATAAATAAGTTAATTATAATAATATTATGTTGATTCGATAAGTAGTGGTATCTTTATTTTTAAGCATTTTATACATTAATGACATAAGCGACTACTTTTTAATAGACAAATAAATAATTGATCCAATATGTTAGTAAAGAATATACATTTTTATTATTCTATGATTAAAACTGGAGTGGGCTTGGTGAATTTTTCAACCGGAAACCGTTATTTATATCGAACTGTTTGTGCTAGGTGCGACCCATCGGTGGAATGGTGGCAAGGTAGCACCTTTTACGAGATATTTCCAGCGTCTTTTCAAGACTCGATGAAAGGCGCCGACGGGATTGGCGATCTGCGCGGAATAACCATGCGGTTGGACTACTTAAAGGGGCTCGGAGTGCGAGCCATTCGACTAAATTCCATATTTCCCGCCTCGCACTATCCGGAGTATTACTCGAATATCAGTAACATGACGGACGTGAATAGAGAGCTGGGTACGCTGGAGGACTTCTCCGTTCTCGTGCGCGAGGTCCACAGGCGAAATATGAGCTTGATACTTGATCTGCCTCTATATCCGTTCGTGAAGAGCGACCAAGCGGCAGCTGTTGCAAAAGTGAACGAGACCGAACAAACGTTCCGGGATAAGCGAGATGCTGCGAACGACGTAATCAATCGCGAAGTACTGCCGCCTGTGCCACCTGCCTCGGTTGAAGCTCTCCGTGATGTTTTATCGTCCGTGCCACCGCCGTTGGAAGAAACGAGGAGATCGACACTTTCGCCTGGTCATTCAAATCGCCAACTGGAACACCCTGTTAGCAAGGCCATAAAGATTTGGCAGCAGAGAGGCGTGGACGGATTCTATCTGAAGGGTTTGGAGCATTACGTTAACGAGAACACGTTTGCGAGCGATCTCAGATACTGGAGGTTCCTCCTGCATCCGAGCAATATTCTGATGTGTCACGTGAATGTCTTGGACGCTGCCACCTCCGTCGTTGCGAAGAACTCCATTCTGTCCAGAATAGATTTAATCGATGTAACTCTTCATCTGGCGAACAGCACCAAGAACATAAAGGCGCAAATTGAGAGCATTACGAAGGGTGTATTTTTCGAAAAAGCCGCTTATCCGTGGATACACTGGTCTGTCGGCGGCGTGGACACAAACAGAGTGACTTCCACCTTAGGCGTCAGGAACGCCAGTGTGACGGCTTCTCTCCTCAACATGATGCTACCCGGGTCACCGAGTATATTCTACGGAGATGAGGTACGTATTATAGCGCAATCGAGATAAAAGAAATCTGGAGAATCTATGTTTATATAATACTTTTTTCTCATTTTGTGTTAAATTTATTTTCAACTATATGCAGATTTACCGGTATGACAGTGAAGCTTAAATTTCAAGGATGCCAAAGAGCCTGTTAATTACACATTTTTTGTACTGTTTCGTATTTATGAACTCATTAAATATTTATAATTTTCTTTTTTGTCGTTGCTTATCTATTTGTTTTCTTCGATAATAATTTGGGTCCCTAAAATTATAGATCCGCCAGTAATAGTTAAAAATTCTATTGTTTATTCCGTTACATATTTGCTAGACTTAGTGTGTCCTATTCAAATCACTGTGATCAAAGTATTATTAGCAATTTGGTGTTCTAGTTTAGTGAAGAAAAACAGTGCGAAAGAGAAACTGAATTTTTTATTTGTTCAGATAGGCATTGAAGACTGCGAGTGTCAGGATCACAAGGATTTGGCGCATGTGCACAATTTAGTTCCTATGTATTGGGAAAAAAAGGACGGCGATAGCAGTTTCTCGTCTATAGGGATTACAACCTGGTTGCCGGAAGCTGAGAAACCAGTGGAAACCAGTTTGAAGGGCACCGTTTCAGCAATGGCAAAACTAAGGATGGAAACGACACCGATTTACGTTAAGGCGGTACTAAGAGATAATCAAATTTCGGCGAATTGTGATATTAGGTAAAAACTTCTTCTCTGCATGAAATTTCAAGCTCGACATTTCATGTTATTTTTATATTGGATAAACTTTATATTCCTTTATATTTTAGACTTTATGGGTTGTTTTATAGTATAATGTTGGCATAAATACAACTTGATTGAAAATTGCTAATCTTTTTGTTTAGGTATGTAGAAGATGAAATGATCGTGATTGAGCGATGGTATCCACGAAGAAATTCTTATGTGTTTGTAGCCAATTTTGGTAACGAAACGCGCAAAAAGGATTTGTCATTCCTTTATTATGGCGGTCATGTTGTTGTAGGACCAAATTACAGAATAAATCGGGAAGTGTACTTCAAAGAACTTAGTGTACCGCCGGGAGAAGCGTTTATTATAAAATTAGATAAGTGAAAGCCTTGATTATGAAATTAATTTAGTGTTGAATTAAATCTTTATTTTTTACTTTTATCACATGAAACAATCGCTAGTGTCACTTGAACATCATTAAGAATGTGGATATCTTGCAACGAAACATTTGTACAAAATTTTTATAAAATTTTTCTACAAAATTTTAACAATGAAATTTTCTAATTATAAAACAACCAAAAGTAGAGAACTCTTGGTGAATACTTTAGAGATGGAAATGAAGAACAGTATTATTTTTCTTGTATTATCATTTTATTAATTGCAAGAATGGACTTTTAAAGAATTTGAAGTCTGTTTTATTGTTAGTTACCAAGGCATAATATCGAAAATTAAGAAGTAGTAAAGAATTTATCTAATCAAAATTTTATGATATCAGTAATATATATCTGTCAGTGAGAAATTTTATTATTATATGTACTATAAAGTAATATTTGTAAATTTAATTATATATATATGAAAATATTAGACTTTTACAACGAATTGTTACGCATATCATCCACATTATGCTGATAATGCGATTTTGTCTTTGTGATTTTTTAAGATGCAGCTATTGTTGTATTTATTCTGATTCTAGAAATGCCAACAAAAAAATAAGAAATCCTATCTTATATTCTACAGTTTTTTTTATAATAGAATCAAAAATTACTGTGCAATATAATACATTGTGACAAAACTGTTCACTATTGTGACACTGCATGTCTATTTGTAGTATGTTAAAACACTATAAAAATTTTTTATTTATTTAAAGTATTATTTTGAATAGCCATTTTGGTTACTTAAACAATATACTATTATATCATTTAAACGTGTTTATCTTTGACATCGAATCGTACAATACACGTACAATTATACAGTTTTTGGATAATTATATAGAATAGAAAGATTAAATTATATTGGATATATATCTTTATGGACTGTGTGAATGCAAAGAATTTTTGTTAATGAAATTATTTTTATGTATTTACACAGATAAGTAAAAAAACTGTAAACATCTATTATGTAATAAAAATCTATTATGTAATAATATTTTAATCAATATATAAATAACAAGTTATTTTGTTTCAGAAAAGTCATTACATAAAGTTGTTATATAAAAGTTTTATTGAGTCGTTCGAAAGTTTGTAGGGATTTTTAAGGAAAATTTGAGTCGCCTGATTAAAAAAGGAAACAGAAGAAGAGATGGTTTTATCATGTATTATGCCATAGGGAACAAAGGAAAAGATAAGAAGCAGGATTTGATGTAAAAAAACCCTCGGTTATTTTGGATTAAAAGCACATACAATTAAAAAAAAATTAGCAATAAGACATGCTTACACGTGTTTCAAGGAACCTCTTAAAAATCCATACAAGTTTTTCGAACAACCCAATATTTTATTTAAATTTTTAAAAAGTTTTATTTAATGTTTTATAAAAATATGAAATATTTTTTACATTATTATATACTTAAAAAAAATTGTATAAACATATTAAAAATAAAAAATGCCACATGGAAAATAATTGTTCTATAGAATTACATATAAAAAAGAAGTACTGTGTGTGTGGTGCAATATAAAAGAGAAGTACTGGTACAAAAGAAATTCATAAAAAATAATTTTATTGTCCAGTAGAAAATTCACAGATGATAGATAATAAGTACATCATATAATGTCACTATGACATTGAATATCACTTTAAAAAACTTGATATTTAATTGAAGGTTGTCATCATCTGGACGGTGGTCTATCCTTTTTATAGAAACTCTGTTAACAATAAAAAAAATAGTTTTTTCAGAACAAAATCTATAAGAATAATTTTTAAATGTTTTTCGTACAATTTTTTGCCAATAAATACAAATAATTATTATTTTAGAAAAGATAAAAAATTTAACAGTACTACTTAACAATAATAGAATTTTCTGTGATATTTAATTAATACTCGCATTATTTTTTCAATGGATTTATTACTTACTTTTGCAGCAATGTCCATAAGATTTTCGGCCATCACACCTGTCTGTTGTACCATATTATAAAAACGTCCTTTTCGTTGTAAAAGGGATGTATGGGTGATCAAATTCCTGAAATAAACATTTAGTTAAAGTTCACATTTTCCTCCTGCTTTTACATCTAAGATTTCAATAATAAAAAATTTTCATAATTATCTAAAAATTAAAAACTGTTGTGGACTACGATTTTTTGTATTCTTTTATAAGAAAACAATAGTTATAAAAATCATTAATGGTAAAGTTTTCGGAAATCACGTTTCTTAATTGCTCAATTACTCATTTGTACTTACCACAAGGCACCCAGCATCCATCACAAATATTCTATCGCTATCCATAATAGTGTTCAATCTGTGAGCTATAGTGAATACAGTGCAATTTACAAATTTTGTCTTAACTGTTTTTTGTATCAAGGAATCCGTGTAAGGATCGATATTGGCAGTTGCCTCATCCAACACCATAATTCGATTGTTCTTGACGATAGCGCGCGCAAGGCACAAGAGTTGTCGCTGCCCGACGCTAAAATTCGACCCCTCGTCCGATACTTTGGTGTCCAATCCACCGGCCATGTCGGAAATCGTTTCTTTCAATTCAACATCCTGAAGAGCCTGCCATAATACCGCGTCAGAGAACTGATCAAAGGGATCGAGGTTGCGTCGCAGACTGCCGGTGAACAAGAACGGTTCCTGCGGGATAATACTGATCTTTGATCGGAAATCGTGCAAGGCAATCGCGTCGGTGGACACATCATCTATGCGAATCTCTCCCTCTATGTAGGCCAGACGGAAGAGAGCGTTAATCAGTGACGACTTTCCCGCGCCGGTTCTGCCGACAATACCGATCTTTTCCTTCGGCAGGACGATGAAATTGATACTTTTAAGTACATGAGCACCTCCGCGAATGTACATTAAATTCACATCTTTGAATTCCACGAGACCCTTCGTCGGCCAATCATCCGGTGGTTTGGTCTCCGGTTTACCGTCGATCATTGGCTCCTCCTCTAAGCGACTATACTCGAGGATTCTCTCTATCGAAGTCAACTGACTCTCCAATTCAGCCGTCTGTCGGATTCCCCATTGCAGCATAATCGTCAACGACATGGTCTGCGTGATGATCAAACCGATGTTACTGACCACGGCCAAACCATCGAAGACCATAAAAGCTATAATTATCACCCCGATGTACAATTGACAAATCACGTCGATGTAAAATCCGAAGGCTTGAGAAGTGGTCATGAAGAGGAAGGCGGCAGATGAATGGACATCATGATGATAGCACAAATCAGCCATTAATATTTCTTCGGCGTTGAAGGCTCTGATTGTCGTTAGACCTTGCAGAGACGCTCCGAAATGATCGAAGATAGGTGAACGCGCTGAAAGAAACATTTAGCAAAAATTAATTGGCGGAAACATCATGAATACAAAAATCTTGATAAGTACGATACACTTACTTGTTCCTTCAAGCCGTTTAATATTGCGACTGGTGCAGATATATATTGAGCGGAAGAAAACAAAAATGCAGGCACAAAGTATCGTAGGTATCGCTAACCATGGTGTAACTGCGACGATCATAATTACCACTGTGATTAAGTTGAGTCCTATTACGATAATGTCAAAAATGCACATCGACAACATTGTATCGACAATATTGATGTCTCTGGCGAATCTAAATCAAACAAGAACGTTTTTCTTTCGTTGGTGAAATCGGATATAGTTTATAACACATCAATTTAATAAATTAAGAGTTAATAAATGTGATATTTAAGTAATATAAAATTTTAAAGCGTTTTAAATAAGTTTTTACGTGAAACTATAAGTTGTACCACCTTCCACACCTTTGTATCAGTGTTGCAATCTTTTTAAAGAATTCAAGATTTTCATCATTTACCAAAAAGTGATAAAAAAAATCATTTTGCATGAATTTAATATAACACGTTACAAACATCTTATGCTTAATTAATCGTCGCACATTATTTCGGTATTTACCTGTTTAATATACGACCAGTTGGGTTGGTATTATAGAAGTACATAGTAGTGCGCAATATACTGCGAAACATGTCGGAATGTAAATTCACCGAGGAACACATACATACTGTAAAGTACACAACCGTCTGAAGTTGCCACAGCAGTATAATGCCCACTATCATCGCGCTGTATATGTAGATCATCGAATCACGGGACAATGGACCATCCCACAGAAACTTCTTCGTCGAGTTGTCGCTCTCATGCCACGAATTCGATTCGACGTTCACCCAAAACGCGATAAAATAATCGCTACCGCCGGACACTATTTGGTTCACTAAGAAGATCAGTATCATCAGCGCGATCATGAAGGGTTTCTTGCTCGCTTTGAAGTAGGCGAAGAACACGTCGCGAGATAGACGACCCTTTGCTGCTATTTCGCGCATTTCAACAGGCGAGATATCTGAATCTTCGCCGCCGCTTTTTGTCTCGCATCTTGCAGGGCTTCGACGACGACCCTCGGGCCGACCGACGTCAGCTTCTTTGCTCGTTGGCTCTGCTGTCTTCAGCAATTTCATGAAATCGAGGTCTAGTGCTTGCAATTCGTTGAAAGTACCCTTTTGTTCGATAGCGCCGTTGTTCATCACGACGATTTGGTCGGCGAGTTGCAAATATTGTAGCTGATGCGTTACCAGAATCCTCGTTTTGTCCTAATTAGCAGTGATAAACAAGGTAGTTAAAACTTTCAATCAAACAATTATTCATATCATATTTTAGGAAAGAAGTAATTATGTGCCAAACTTTTTATAGCAACGTAATTAGTTACAACTTTCGGCCGATTTTTACAATTATTTATCTATTATTTCTTAATGCGTTATTAATTTGTTATTGATTTTTCTCCAAAATTAAAGTAATAATACTTAATACGTTTCTTTCACATATCATACTGCAGAGTTAATAAGAATTATTTGCAATTTTTGGCCGATTTTTTTTGTCTAATCTAAAAGATATTCACAAATTAATCTTTCTTTTTAATATTATAAAATTGTAATCTTTTTTTATAGCACTTTTAGTTAAAAAATTATTATCACAAAATTTATGTATTGAAATATTACTTTTACTGTACAATTCTTACCTTTAAGTACCCGCAAATACACTCATCAATAAGACGTTTGCTGACGAGTGAATCCACAGCGGAAAGAGGATCGTCCAGCAGATAAATATCAGCGTCTTTATAGATCGCTCGCGCTAGATTTATCCGAGCTCGCTGACCACCGCTCAGATTTATTCCTCTCTCACCAACAGCGGTGGAATCACCGTGCGGAAATGAACATATGTCTGATTCCATTTGGCACACCCGGATTACTTCAGCATAACGTAACTTGTCCATTTTTTGTCCGAACAGAATGTTCTGCTTCACAGAAGAGGCGAAGATCCACGGTTGCTGACTGATGTAATTTATTCGGCCGCAACTGTCGATGCTCCCGCTCGTCAAAGTCAGTTCTTGAAGGATCGCTTGCAATAGACTACTTTTGCCAGAACCCACCTGACCGACAATGGCGACGAAACTACCAGGGGCCACAATCAGATTCACGTTGCGCAGTGTATCATCCTTATTGTCACCATGCCATTTGGCGTTGACGTTGATCATGCGAAGCGCAAACGAGTTTTTAACATCCATTCGATCTGGGTTTTGTTTTGTCTTGGCAATCTCTGAGTGCATCATAAATTTTCGCAAACGGCGAATAGATACCAATGCCTGCACCAGCTGATGGAGACCTAGAGAACACATCTATTGAGTACAAATCGTAATAAAGGATGTCAATTTTTGACTCCGCGTCAATCGCCTTACCCACTGAAAATCCAAAGAGCATGGAGCTTCGCAAGACATTGAAGTATGCTGTAACCAAGTACACCTTTTCAGGATTGATATAATTTCCAAATAAAACATACGTCAATATTGTGACAAAAAGACACAATCGTGGCACAAAGCAATGAAGGGTAAGAGCTAATTGTTTTAAGATTGAGTATTGTTTTATTACATTCATTTCACGCCTAGAAGTAATTAAGTTCTAATAATGATTTTCTCGATTTAATTAAACAGATATAATATGTTTGTAGTGATCAATTTTGTTGGTGATTTATGTATACATGTTTATTCAGTTGGTTACTTACTTCCTTGCTTTCTCCACGAGAGTGTAAAACGGTTTTTCCCAAACACACATTTTAATCACTTGTAATCCCGTGATTATTTGATTCATCAGTCTGAGCCTATCGTCTGATCTCTCCGCTGATTTAAACGATAAAGGTGTCGTTTTTTTTGCCATAAACGCTGAAATAAATTTTACTCGGTATATTGTTATCTACATTTATTCACCTATTTTTCTATTCGTTAAATATTACGTATGTATAATAATAATAAAATATTGTTACATTTATTAAAATACATACAAGATATCCCATAACTTACACATCAAAGTATTGTAACAGAAAGTTCTTTAACAAATAAATAAAAAAAATCTTTGCAATTTTTTAATCCAAGTAAGTTTTGAAATACAAAGGTTTAAAATTGACTAATCAAAGATTCTATAGTTAACTAGTCCATTGTCCATGAGTAGCTAATACTGTCATCTGCGCGACTCGCGGATTGAAAAATTTCAAAGATTGTTTTTATTTACTTTTTAGAGAATTTTTTCTTAGTGTTTTATTCACAAATTATGGGACACTGTAATTAAATATCTTTAAGAACGGAAGTTCTTAGTGTTAAAATGTACCTTGAAAAGGAATAAATAGTAAAAGAACCGCCATTCCGACTAACGCCACCCATCCAACTTCGGTAAATATAATATATGTAATCCATACCACTTGAATAGGAGCGATCCAAATGTAGTGCAGATCCCACAAGGCCAATTCCAACCTGCTAATATCACTGCTCAAAAAATTGATCATCTAAAAATTAAAGTAAATATTCCGGTCTTTTATTAAAGTTTGATTTCGAATGACCTTGAACGACTGAAATAACGAATTATAATTCGTTAGATTTGCATAATAATCGTCTAGATTTACAATTGACTTACGAGTTACGGCTTACCTGTCCAACAGACGTCTCGTAATCCAGCACAGAATTGGAAAGTTTTAATATCTTTTGATAAATTAATGAAGTACAGGCTATTTTCATTCTCAATCCTATATGCAGAGTGCAATGCACGGTGTAATGAAAGATGAAACAGTCCAGGAGAGATAGCAGAATCATACCAGCTGCGCAGTAATACACTTCGTTGCTCCATTCATCTCTGTTGTTTGAGAAATTGCGCAACAAAGTGGCGAGTAATAACGGTTGATACAGTCTATAATATATAATTAAAGGACTGCATCTTATAAGAATATTTTAAATATTTAAAATTACATCCTATTCTATCTTTTCTATTCCATGTATTGTCTGGCAAAGCCCAGTTTGATTGACACGTAAATTAAATATCCATTTATCGTAGTTGTAATCAAGATCTGCTTGTATCACGTATTTTTTCACGTTGCACAAAAGCAACAAAAAAAAAAACGATGACATCATCATTGAAAAATACGAAATTATTTATTGCACAACGCAATATCTTTCATGTTGGAATAAATGTAAATAATCAAAATTCAACGTTTAAATTATTATATATATTGGTACGTCATAATATTATTAATATAATAATTAATATAAAATATAATTCATTCACTTTTACATTTGTTTAGGGATTAATATACCTGGAGAATAGTTCCATTACTGCTTGTGCGATTCCAATTAATAAAAATGGTATGCCAAAACAGCGTAACAATACTCTGAGTAATTGCGGCGTGGAGTCATTTTTCTTTTTAGCGCACGAATCTACTTCTTTTTTCCAAGCATTGCTTATAATTTCGCCCAAGTAACTGGTTCTGTCTTGTTTAAGTGTGACGTATAGATCACTCTCTTCCAAATCTTTATTATAGCCAGTCCAAAAAATCTTTCGAGTCCACCTATCATATTGTATAAATTCATGTAGAATGTTCTTTTATTAAGGTTATTACCTCGTTGTACATAAAAAGAAATAAAATATATGGTGAAGTTATTGAAAATAAATGTACAAAATGTTTAATGTGTTGTATGTAATTTCTTTAATTTTAATCGGACTTTGTCGCTGTGATAAAAGAGAAAATAATAATCGAAATATAGAAAAAAAAAACACATATGAGTCGGATTAAATTTTGTACATTTATTTTCCATAATTTCTCTATATATTTTCAAATATTTTCTTACTTAATTAAATTTCATAAATGATTCGTGATTTGTGATACTCACCAGAAAGTAATGAGAGAGAATACATTCGCATTTTGCCGTGGATTTATTGGATATTTTCTTTGACCGTCGTTTATCATGATGACACGTTAAACTTCTATTTATCTTCGAATATTTTCTGCTTTAAACATAATATGAGTTATGCATAATTATATATTTGTTATTTATTCTTATTTCACAAGATTTCAAATAATTTTAGAAAAGAGTTTATTCAATTCACCTAAGTGATTGTGTTAATTGTCTTTTCAAATAGTTCCTATAAAAGAATTACCGTGAAGCACGTTGAGTCTGCAATGTTATCACACATACTGTTTACACGTTATCACACATACTGTCTACCGTTGCACGCTCTTATCAAAAGTAAAGTCGATAATATTCTGCACAATCCATATTAAAAGATAAAATATACTTCACGTGTGAACAATTAGAAATTTTATTTGATAGCACATTTATTATTGTTTTCGAAAGATACGAGTTGACATTTTTTCGCCTGAGTATACACCGAGTTGTTCGAAAACTCGATCTCACAATAAGAGGAAAGAAAATGATGAAAATCGAAGTGAGCAAATAAAGGAAGCTGCATTTGTATCTAATATAAAATTTATCAATTATAGCGAGAGTGGATATATTAATACTGTAAAAAGATATCCCAAATTCAACCAAGTTACAATAATACTCAAGAAAATATATTCCGGGGAACCAAAGATAGAAAAAACATGAATCAAAGAAGTACGAATCGTGAGAATGCTATTATATTAACAGAAGAGATCATCGAAGTTAATAATCAAACAAATATTTACATAATATTTTCTAATACATTTGTACTTACCGAAAATAAAGTTTACGAGTATTCACTGTGTTTAAAACAGATATCTTGTTTCAAACATTGTAAATTTCAATCAAATCGATTAAACACGCGCGAAAATAAACAACCAAAGTTCTATATTTTAAATGCACTTCAAAATAAAATGCTAGATATATTACTAGCATCACAAATCTCCGCGGTGAAAAAAACCAAACTGTTCTACACTAGGTCAGTGTGGCAAGATTTGAGACGTATTCAGAAGCAGTAGGAATGGAAGGGAAACCGCACACATGCGCAAGCCGCGTACATGTGAGCCCCGCGCTTCGCATGCACGTGGTTTACGCATGTGTGCAGTTACCCCTCCATTCCTGCTGCATCTGCTTGCATCTTAAATCTGGCCACACTGCACTAGGGATGAACCAGTGATACAAACTCAAAATCGCTAACACCATGGCACCTCGATAGGGGAAGCACGCACCAAGCGAAAGTAACGCGTTCTCGTGTGCCAGTACGGAACGGTTGAGTGCACACGGACGCGACAGTAGGCAAATTTTACTTGTGGCGTGCTTCCTGCGCACGTTTGCTGCGCGGTGAAATGACAGGGTATACGGTATCGAAAGTTCGATATTCCTGTTAAAAAATCGATACATGCAAATACTAAAAAATAAAGCATCGATACAAAATATCGATAGTGGAACCCAAAGTATCAATATTTTAAATATCGATATCGCCCATCACAGGGTTTATTCTGAACCGTGTTAGTTTGGCTTATTGTACTTTCTATATGTTGGCAGACAGAAAACTAAACCGAGAAGTGTTCCAACGCTTCCGAAGCTCTGTGAATATAAACTGTCAAAACTCGTATGGCAGTTTGATTGACAGTCGACACAAGTGAAGCAAGTCGCAGCGCACAAGCGAGACAACCAATCAGCATCGCAAAAAAGAGGCTTCAACATTTCGATATATTCGAGTTCGAAGTATCATTCTTTTTTTAGAGAGGAATTTTTAAAAAATTTTATTTAATGTTATATAAAAATATGAAATATTTTTATAATTATTATATTATATAATTAAAGAAAATTGTGTAAATATATTAAAAATAAAAAATGCAACATGGAAAATAATTGTTCTGTAGAATTACATATAAAAGAGAAGTATTGTGTATGTGGTGCAATATAAAAGAGAAGTACAAAAAAAATTCATAAAAAATAATTTTATTGTCCAGTAGAAAATTCACAGATGACAGATAATAAGTACATCATATAATGTCACTATAACATTGAATATCACTTTAAAAAACTTGATATTTAATTGAAGGTTGTCATCATCTGGACGGTGGTCTATCCTTTTCATAGAAACTCTGTTAACAATAAAAAAATAGTTTTTTCAGAACAAAATCTATAAGAATAATTTTTAAATGTTTTTCGTACAATTTTTTGCCAATAAATACAAATAATTATTATTTCAGAAAAGATAAAAAATTTAACAGTACTACTTAACAATAATAGAATTTTCTGTGATATTTAATTAATACTCGTATTATTTTTTCAACTGATTTATTACTTACTTTTGCAGCAATGTCCATAAGATTTTCGGCCATCACACCTGTCTGTTGTACCATATTATAAAAACGTCCTTTTCGTTGTAAAAGAATGTATGGGTGATCAAATTCCTGAAATAAACATTTAGTTAAAGTTCACATTTTCCTCCTGCTTTTACATCTAAGATTTCAATAATAAAAAATTTTCATAATTATCTAAAAATTAAAAACTGTTGTGGACTACGATTTTTTGTATTCTTTTATAAGAAAACAATAGTTATAAAAATCATTAATGGTAAAGTTTTCGGAAATCACGTTTCTTAATTGCTCAATTACTCATTTGTACTTACCACAAGGCACCCAGCATCCATCACAAATATTCTATCGCTATCCATAATAGTGTTCAATCTGTGAGCTATAGTGAATACAGTGCAATTTACAAATTTTGTCTTAACTGTTTTTTGTATCAAGGAATCCGTGTAAGGATCGATATTGGCAGTTGCCTCATCCAACACCATAATTCGATTGTTCTTGACGATAGCGCGCGCAAGGCACAAGAGTTGTCGCTGCCCGACGCTAAAATTCGACCCCTCGTCCGATACTTTGGTGTCCAATCCACCGGCCATGTCGGAAATCGTTTCTTTCAATTCAACATCCTGAAGAGCCTGCCATAATACCGCGTCAGAGAACTGATCAAAGGGATCAAGGTTGCGTCGCAGACTGCCGGTGAACAAGAACGGTTCCTGCGGGATAATACTGATCTTTGATCGGAAATCGTGCAAGGCAATCGCGTCGGTGGACACATCATCTATGCGAATCTCGCCCTCTATGTAGGCCAGACGGAAAAGAGCGTTAATCAGTGACGACTTTCCCGCGCCGGTTCTGCCGACAATACCGATTTTTTCCTTCGGCAGGACGATGAAATTGATACTTTTAAGTACATGAGCACCTCCGCGAATGTACATTAAATTCACATCTTTGAATTCCACGAGACCCTTCGTCGGCCAATCATCCGGTGGTTTGGTCTCCGGTTTACCGTCGATCATCGGCTCCTCCTCTAAGCGACTATACTCGAGGATTCTCTCTATCGAAGTCAACTGACTCTCCAATTCAGCCGTCTGTCGGATTCCCCACTGCAGCATCATCGTCAACGACATGGTCTGCGTGATGATCAAACCGATGTTACTGACCACGGCCAAACCATCGAAGAACGTAAAAGCTGCAATTATCACCCCGATGTACAATTGGCAAATCACGTCAATGTAGAATCCGAAGGCTCGAGAAGTGGACATGAAGAGGAAGCAGGCGGATGAATGGACATCTTGATGATTGCACAAATCTGCCATTAATATTTCTTCGGCGTTGAAGGCTCTGATTGTCGTTAGACCTTGCAGAGACGCTCCGAGATGATCGAAGATAGGCGAACGCGCTGAAAGAAACATTTAGCAAAAATTAATTGGCGCAAACATCATGAACATAAAAATCTTGATAAGTACGATACACTTACTTGTTCCTTCAAGCCGTTTAATATTGCGACTGGTGCAGATATATATTGAGCGGAAGAAAACAAAAATGCAGGTACAAACCATCGTAGGTATCGCCAGCCATGGAGTAACTGCGATGACCATAATTACTACTGTGATTAAGATGAGTCCTATTACGATAATGTCGAAAATGCACATCGACAACATTGTATCGACGATATTGATGTCTCTGGCGAATCTAAATCAAACAAGAACGTTTTTCTTTCGTTGGTGAAATCGGATATAGTTTATAACACATCAATTTAATAAATTAAGATTTAATAAATGTGATATTTAAGTAACATAAAATTTTAAAGCGTTTTAAATAAGTTTTTACGTGAAACTATAAGTTGTACCATCTTCTACACCTTTGTACCCGTGTTGCAAGTTTTTTAAAGAAGTCAAATCAAGATGTTTATCTTAGTATTTTTTCATTTTAACAAAAAGTAATAAAAAAAAACAAATATTTTGTATGAATTTAATACAACACGTTACAAACATCCTATTCATAATTAATCATCGTACATTATTTCCGCACTTACCTGTTTAATATACGACCAGCTGGGTTGGTATTGTAGAAGTACATAGTAGTGCGCAATATACTGTGAAACATGTCGGAATGTAAATTCACCGAGGACCACATGCATACTGTAAAGTACACAATCGTCTGAAGTTGCCACAGCAGTATAATGCCCACTATCATCGCGCTGTATATGTAGATCATCGAATCACGGGACAACGGACCGTCCCATAGAAACTCCTTCGTCAAATTGTCGCTCTCATGCCACGAATTCGATTCAACGTTTACCCAAAACGCGACGAAGTAATCGCTACCGCCGGACACTATTTGGTTCACTAAGAAAATCAGTATCATCATCGCGATCATGAAGGGTTTTTTGCTCGCTTTGAAGTAGGCGAAGAACACGTCGCGAGATAGATGACCCTTTGCTGCTATTTCGCGCATTTCAACAGGCGAGACATCTGAATCTTCGTCGCCGCTTTTTGTCTCGCATCTTGCAGAGCTTCGACGGCGACTCTCGGGCCGACCGACGTCAGCTTCTTTGCTCGCTGGCTCTGTTGTCTTCAGCAATTTCATGAAATCCAGGCCTAGTGCTTGCAACTCGTTGAAAGTACCCTTTTGTTTGATAGCGCCGTTGTTCATCACGACGATTTGGTCGGCGAGTTGCAAATATTGTAGCTGATGCGTTACCAGAATCCTCGTTTTGTCCTAATTAGCAGAGATAAAGTAATTAAAACTTTCAATCAAACAATTATTCATATCATATTTTAGAAAAGAAGTAATTATGTGTTGCAAAACTTTTTATAGCAACATTGTTAGTTACAACTATGGGCCAATTTTTACAATTATTTATCTATTATTTCTCACTGCGCTATTAATTTATTACCAAAATTGATTTTAATTATAGAATTAATGTATTTCACATATCATATTGCAGAGTGAGTAAGAATTATTTGCAATTCTTGGCCGATTTTTCATTTCTAATCTAAGAGCTATTCACAAATTAGTCTTTTGTTAATATTATAAAATTGTAATCTCTTTTATAGCAATTTTGGTTGACAAAATTATTATCAGAAAACACCTGTATTATTAAAATATTACTTTTACTGTACAATTCTTACCTTTAAGTAGCCGCAAATACAGTCATCAATGAGACGTTTACTGACGTGTGAATCCACAGCAGAGAGAGGATCGTCCAGCAGATAAATATCGGCGTCTTTATAGATCGCTCGCGCTAGATTTATCCGAGCTCGCTGGCCACCGCTCAGATTTATTCCTCTCTCACCAACAGCGGTGGAATCACCGTGCGGAAATGAGCATATGTCCGATTCCATTTGGCACACCCGGATCACTTTGGCATAACGCGACTTGTCCACTTTTTGACCGAACAGAATGTTCTGCTTCACAGAAGAGGCGAAGATCCACGGTTGCTGACTGATGTAATTTATTCGGCCGCAACTGTCGATGCTCCCGCTCGTCAAAGGCAGTTCTTGAAGGATCGCTTGCAATAGACTACTTTTGCCAGAACCCACCTGACCGACAATGGCGACGAAACTACCAGGGGCCACTGTCAGATTCACGTTGCGCAGTGTATCATCCTTACCGTCACCATGCCATTTGGCGTTGACGTTGATCATGCGAAGCGCAAACGAGCTTTTAACATCCATTCGATCTGGGTTTTGTTTTGTCTTGGTAATCTCTGAATGCATCATAAATTTTCGCAAACGACGAATAGATACCAGTGCCTGCACCAGCTGATGGAGACCTAGAGAACAACGTTTGTTGAGTACAAATCGTGATGAAGGATGCCAATTTTTGGCTTAGCGTCAATCGCCTTACCCATTGAAAATCCAAAGATCATTGAGTTTCGCAAGACATTGAAGTATGCTGTGACTAAGTACACCTTTTCAGGATTGATATAATTCCCGAATAGAACATACGCTAATATCGTGACAAAGAGACACAATCGTGGCACATAGCAGTCGAGAGTAAGAGCTAATTGTTTTAAAATTGAGTATTTTTTTATTATATTCATTTCACGTCTGGAAGTAATTAAGTTCTAATGATGATTCTAATTAAACAGTTATAATATGTTCGTAGTGGTCAATTCTGTTGATGATTTATGTATACTTATTTATTTAGTTGGTTACTTACTTCCTTGCTTTCTCCACGAGAGTGTAAAACGGTTTCTCCCAAACATACATTTTAATCACTTGCAATCCCGCGATTACTTGATTCATCAGTCTGAGCCTATCGTCTGATCTCTCCGCTGATTTAAGCGTTAAAGGTGTCATTTTTTTTGCCAATAACGCTGAAATACATTTTATTCGGTATATTGTTATGAATATTTATTCTCTTATATTTCTATTCGTCAAATATTACGTACGTATAATAATAGTAAAGTATTTTAATTATTAAAATACATACAAGCTATCCCATAATTTGTTAATCAAAGTATTACAGCAAAAAGTTCTCTAACGGATAAATAAGAAAAAGTTTTTGCAGTTTTTTTAATTCCAGTAAGTTTTGAAATACAAAAGACTTTTTTATTTACTTTTGCGAGAATTTTAGTAAATGATAAAATTTATTCACAAATTACAGGACACTCTGTAATTAAATATTTTTAAGGACGGAAATTTTTAGTGTTAGAATGTACCTTGAAAAGGAATAAATAGTAAAAGAACGGCCATTCCGATTATCCCCGCCCATCCAACTTCGTTAAATACATTATACGAAATCCATACCACTTGAATAGGAGCGATCCAAATGTAGTGCAGATCCCACAAGGACGATTCCAACCTGGTAATATCACTGCTCAAAAAATTGACCATCTAAAAATTAAAGTAAATATTCCGATCATTTATTAAAGTTTGATTTCGAATGACCTTGAACGACTGAAATAACGAATAATAATTCGTTATATTTGCATAATATTCGTCTAGATTTACAGTTGACTTACGAGTTACGGCTTACCTGTCCAACAGACGTCTCATAATCCAGCACAGAATTGGAAAGTTTTAATATCTTTTGATAAATTAATGAAGTACAGGCTATTTTAATTCTCAGTCCTATATGCATGGTGCAATGCATTGTGTAATGTATGATGAAACAGTCCAGGATAGATAACAGTATCATACCGGCAGCGCAGTAATACACCTCGTTGCTCCATTCATCTCTGTTGTTTGAGAAATTGCGTAACAAAGAGGCGAATAATACCGGTTGATACATTCTATAATATAATTAGAGGACTGCATTTTAAAAGAATATTTTAAATAATTAAAATTATATCCTATTCTATCTTTTCTATTCTATGTATTATATTGAATTGTGCAATAAGTAATTTTAGATTTTTTAAATAAATTCATCTACCTTTTTGTCTGGCAAAGCGTAGTTTGATTGACACGTAAATTAGATATTTATTTATCATAGTTGTAATCAAGTTTGGCATGTATTACGATGTTTTCACATTGCATAAAAGCAACAAAAAAACGATGACATCATCATTGAAAAACACGAAATTATTTATTACACAACGCAATATCTTTCATTTTGGAATAAATGTGGATAATCAAAATTCAATGTTTAATTTTAGCACTTTTATATTTGTTTAGGGATTAATATACCTGGAGAATAATTCCATTACTGCTTCTCCGATTCCAATTAATAAAAATGGTATGCCAAAACAGCGTAACAACACTCTGAGTAATTGTGGCGTGGAGCCATTTTTCTTTTTAGCGCACGAATCTACTTCTTTTTTCCAAGCATTGCCTATAATTTCGCCTAAGTAACTGGTTCTGTCTTGTTTAAGTGTGACGTATAGATCGCTCTCTTCCAAATCTTTATTATATCCAGTCCAAAAAATCTTTCGGGTCCACCTATCATATTGTATAATAAATTCATGTAAAATTTTTTATTAAGTTTGTTACCTCGTTGTACATAAGAAGAAATAAAATATATAGAAAAGTTATTGAAAATAAATATACAAAATGTTTAATGTGTTGTATGTAATTTCTGTAAATTTTAATCGGATTTTGTCGCTGTGACAAAAGAGAAAATAATAATCAAAGTATAGAAAAAAAAACACATATGAGCCGGATTAAATTTTGTACATTTATTTTCTATAATTTCTCTATATATTTTCTAATATTTTTTTACTTAATTAAATTTAACAAACATGATTCGTAATACTCACCAGTAAGTAACGAGAGAGAATACATTCGCATTTTGCCGTGGATTTATTGGATATTTTCTTTGACCGTCGTTTATCATGATGGCACGTCAAGCTTCTATTTATCTTCAAATATTTTCTGCTTAAAACATAATATGAGTTATACATAATTATATATTTGTTATTTATTCTTATTTTATTGAAATAGTAATTAGAAAATAAAATAAAATCTTAGTTTACAAAAGTCGACTTTTGTATGCAAGATTTAAATTTTATTTCCTAACATAATAAAAAATTATTCTTTAATGCATATTTGTAGTCGTCTCTTTTTTAATTATGTTTATTATTTATCTTGAATTTCCAATATTCAATATTAGATGTTTTTTGCTAGATATTTCTAAGTATTAAAAATCTATAAAGTTTACCTGAAATAAACTGAAGAATGTGATTTTGTTATTTATTTAATTTGCTGAAATAAATTTTTCAATAAAAAATTCTTGCACTTTTTCAATAATTTATCACTCAAAAATAACTTGTATCTATACATTTTTATTAAAGACTAGTCGACTCTAAATTAATTATGTTATTAAAATTAAAGATACGAGCTCTATGCGAGAAATTCTATATTAATAAATATCACCTATTTGAATCACTATAAGAAAAGAGCAAATTATAAGATTTCAAATAATTTTAGAAAAAGGTTTATTCAACTCACCGAAGTGATTGTGCTAATTGTCTTTTGTAACAGCTCCTATATAAGAACTACCGCAAAGCACGTTGAGTCTGTCAATGACACGTTATCACATATGTATATTGTCTATCGTAACACGCTCTTATCAAAAGTAAAGTCGATTTAATAATCTGCACAATCCATATTGAAAGAAAAAATTCACTTCACGTGTGAACAATTGTAAATTTTGCCTGATAGTACATTATCATTGTTTTCGGAAGATACGAGTTGACATTTTTTCGTCTGAGTATACACCGAGTTGTTCGAAAACTCGGTATTTTTTAATCTTCTATAGATCTTACGCGCCAGAGAAGATAACAATGCATTTATAGATTCATCGTACATTTTTGGAAGTGCAATTAGCAATATTAGCAATTAGCAGTTTATTTGATTTTAAAATACAACTCGTTTTACACGATGAAAAAAATGATGAATTAATTTTGATATCAACCACTTATAATATTAACTACTAGTGATATTGCGTACTGAACGCCACGAAACTACATTTCCTAAATATTCAGACATCCCATGTAGCTCTCTGTACGGGTCGCATAGAAACATGCATGGAAACATTTTTTCTCCTCTTTTTTTCTTTTTCGGAAAATTAACATCTGATGAATATGGTGTATAATCATAATGAAAGACAACGGAATCGACATTCATTATTACACGTTAAAATAGTCAGCGAATTCTTGTAACATGCTGAACAAGAAAATGCTAAAAGAGAACATGTAGTTATGGCGTGTCTGCTGATAAATTTTGGACGAGTACTTATATGATCCCGTTTCCGAAATTGTCCGCTCGAAGAGACAACAAAGGAATAAACGCAACTGGCTTATTAATCTTGCAAGGAAATTGATGCTTATCCATTCTTTCACATTATTGGCATTTCTTCATTTGGCGGAAAAAAGTTTACCTCGAAGCCGGCACAATGTGTTCGCGATCAGTCTGCTATACGCGTTCGACTCATGTTGAAGTCTGGCAAGTCATGCAAGTACGGGAATTCGAATTTTCGAGTAGATATCTAATCAGAATCGGCCGTAGGCCCTATAGTGCTCGCGTTCAACCTTTATATGAGCGCTCCTCGATGCCACAGTAAATTACAGAAATATCTCATTAATGCGTACGCAGGAAAAGGACTCCATAGACACTTTTCAAAGGCACTCGATGCTCATATAAAGGTTGTACAGAGCTCAATGGCGTTAGAGATGTTTTTTGAAAGCGTATAAAATATTAAAACTAATATATTTATTTATTTTAAACTAACATTTTATTTATTTTAATTCAACTCACTTATTTCTTTAATTTTGATTAATTTATTCAAATTTATATGTTCACAATTTCAGATTTATTGACACATGTGTGAGTGTGCGATTTTAATATTAATAGATAACAGTAATTTCAAACATGAGATATAGTTATAATATATTTTTATCGGATTGTGTAATTTCGAATTTTCTTATACAGGGTGACTCAGACCTACTGTAACACCCGTTAATGGCAGATTTCCGAGATAATTTTGTGACGAAAATTTTAATACTAAAATATCGAAACATGATTGGTCAACTTTAAATACTTGCCATTTAAAAACTATTGCAATCTTGACAATTTGGTATTAAAATTTTCGTCTTGAAATAATCTCAGCAATCTGTCATTAACGGGTGTTACGATATAAGTCTGGGAATATTTAGAAAGTGTTATTGTTTTTTAAAAAATTGTGATACGAACAACTTGATTGCAATTTCGACAAACAAATATTTAATTTTCGTGTTAATCAAACTGTGCTTTGCCTGACAAAAAAAATAAACACATTTATTGAAAAAAATCCTGAAATTACTTATTATACAATCCGATAAATCTTTCATTTTTGAATTTATTGCTAGATATAAAATCTCATAAAAATTACAAGGAAAAAAATAAGAGGATTCTTTCCAGGAATTTAATTGCTTAAAATCTTTTTACTTTTTTACTGACCCCCGTAGTTTGGTATTACGTGTAGTCTATCGCGTGCCGTGTGTTTTGCATATTGTGCAATATCTTTCCTACATTTTCAGGTAACGGAACTCACTCGAGCGTCAAACATAATAATTTGGAACAGATGGTTTTTGACATGTTTGGGCATCTGGCCGACCAAGGTGAATCAATTTTTGTTCCTGGTCTTTATCGGATATATGATAACATACAGCATTATGGCAGTGAACCATTTGATTAATCATATCAACTATCCGGAACACGTCGTCGCGAATTTAGCGGCTAACATTTTGCTCGTTATGATACTGGGAAAGATGTGCGTGTGCAGACGCAGCTGCGGAATAATGGCCGATAAGTTTCTCAAAGTCATCGAGAAAGACTTTTTAACAGAGAGCTATGACAGTGCCCAGGAGAAAACTGCATACCTGCGTTATAATCATATTGCGTTGTTATTTGTAAAGCTCTCGATGACCATGACAATAACTGCGGCCACACTGTATTACTGTAAAGTATTTTTCATAAATTGGAACACAAGTAAGTACACTTTCACACGCAACTGCACATGCAAATTGCACAAAACTCCAAGCTCTATATTTCATGATAATAATTTAAAGAGCATTATCTGTCATCCGTATCATTAAGTCATTATTTACTTTCGCACAGTCGCACAATTGTATGTACAAGACAATCGTCTTGCTAAAATGTCGCAGACATATCTATTTTTCTTAATACTAATAAAATAAATATAAATCTCTTTTTTTATAAAACAATGCACAAGTCAAAACGATTTTATATATTGCACTTTGATTTATTGCAATAAATTAACTTCAATTTTAAGACGTTAGTTTAAACACAAATTTTTCGAATCGTGATAATTGTGCACTGACACGTTTTATCACAATACTTGCACAAAATTATGTGCCATTATGTGTAATTATGTGCATCTTAGTCATTGCTCAATGTTAAAATCAGAAACAAAAGACAGATAGTGCTGAAATTAAATGTAATATAATGTATATAGTGGTATCGGGTAATTTCACATTTGATGAATTACCATATCCGGTTGATCCTTTCTTTGAAGTGAAAGACTCATCTACCTATACATACGTTTGTATTTATCTGGCGCTAGCCGTGCCACTTATAATATGCGGTTACGGCGCACCAGATGCATTTGTACTCAGCATGACCTTTCATATTTGTGGTCAACTTGCCGCATTATCGTGTAAAATCGACATTTTATTAAAAGACCGTGAGAATTATCATCGTCACATCAGTAACATTATAATAAGGCATCATCAACTGATAGCGTGAGTCTCTATTTCTTTCATTATTTCTGTGCGTGCACTTTATATTTCACATTAAATAATATCGTAATGTATTAAAACAGTGCTGCTTAAATATCATAATGTTCGAATCTTCTCTTCTATTGATAAAAAAGATAATTATCCTCTAGAAGATAATTTATCTGTCCATTAATTATCTCTCAATTTCACTTTCTATATTTTATATTATCACCTAACACGCAGAAAGTACAAAATAAATGCAGCTAAACAAATCTTATATCGAGTAATCAAAATAAATGATCAATTAAAATTATATTTATTCTAGATAAATAAATTTAATTTCTATTGTATATAAAGTTTAAGAATATAACTTTGCAATCATTATAAATAAGAGTTTATACTAGGTTTTTCACGATGTGATGCAGTTTATAAATTATATGTATTAGTTTAGTTTAATGACAGGAATAATGTGGCCATGTTTTAACAATGCAGCGCATTGCAGATTAGCAGAGATCTTGGAAAACAATTTCAATCTAATGTTTCTTCAGCAAACTCTCGGCACTGTATTTTTACTCTGTTTAACTATATATCATGTACTTGCGGTGAGTTCAATACTGGAAAAATAAACGCTTCATGAAACTAGCGCGAATATATGCTTAAAAAATATTGAGAATTCGATAAAATTAAATTGTTCGAAAATCTATATTTCAAAGATATAAATTAGCTGTTAATGAAAAAAATATTTTTAATTATGTTTTAGATGTCAGAGTATGGCGCTGACATCAATCTTATAACATTTATACTCTATACAGGTTGTGTACTCTCTACAATTCTCGCGTATTGCTATGTAGGAGAATGTCTCATTAATGAGGTAATTATAAAAATTACAAGAATAAGATTATTGGAAAAAAGATAATAGATTTATTTGCGATATCTCAGTCGAGACGTTAAATATGAACGCCGTAGCTCAAAAATTTCTTTAATGCAGAAGGACAAAAGTATCTTGATTGTTTACAATATTGCATTTTTCCTGTTTTTAGACTATTCAGTTCTCGAATATACCAATTTGAAATCAAAATATCTACTTTTTTACATTCTGTACATATTTATACAAAAAATTTTAAGCACACAAAATAAAAATAAGTAATTATTTGCAATATCAAAAGATTGTAGTCTTACAACAAATTGTATTATTTTATTCAGAGCGCTGGATTACGCGAAACATTTTACAATTCTGAGTGGTACAGTAAACCGCCACTGTATGTAAAATCAGTTAGTATTTGTATGACACGAATTGAGAAGCCATTGATATTGACTAACGGAAAATTCATTCCTTTATCATTGAATACATTTACAAGTGTAAGTTAATAAATTCTATCTATGTTGTACGTTTTTCTATTATTCTTATTCTTATTTCTATTCTGCATTATTTTTATTATTCTTAGAGCGTATTTCTGTTTACAGATAGTGAAAACTTCCATGGCATATTTGTCTATGTTACGCAATTTTATGTAAAAAAACTTTGATTTAGAATATTTTGGCGAAATCTATCTGTGAAACACAAAAAAACATAGCATAGTGTATAAATAACACAAAAAAACATAATATAGTGTATAAATAACAAGATTCTTAATTATTATAACAAACTATAAATATATAAATGCCAAATATACATATATTGTGTCAATAATATTTATAACAAACTTTTTCTTAATTATAAATATATTATCTGCACATATGCTTTGCACAAATGCGAGATATTTAAGAAGAATGACATAAATAGAAAAAATTTGTTATATATATTATTATTATTTCTTTTTTATGAGCATATATCATAGTCAAAATGCACCGAATGAATTTTTCCTTCATATAAAATTATATTCAACTTTCAAAGTTATTGTTAGCGCGTAAGTTTTTAACACGTTAGTGGTGGCGAGTTTGATCCTCACCGCCGCATTAAAATAAACTACGATTGCTTTCACTTGCAAGATGATAATAATATTTTTATAAATGCTTATTGTTAAATATGTTTAATATCCAGCTGCTTCATTCAGAAATTTTCAAATTCTTTCACAGCAATTTGTGTTTGTTTTTACATTTTGGAATATTTTATTTTTTAAAGTTAATAACTTTTGCAATAGTTCTTTTCAGAAATTAATTCGCAGAGTACGCGAAAATATTCTGCCATTTTAGACAGCAAAATTTACTCGAGTGCCAAACATGATAATTTGGAACAGTTTTCGATTGTGTCTGTTGAACTTATGGCCATTTTTCGTTGATGTAGAGAGAGGTAAGATAATGGATGCACGATGAAGATAATACTGCACAAACTAAGGCATAATAATTGCATCAACGTATCTGATCCAAGTTATACCGATATATCGATTGATTATAATCAATTCGTTCCGCTGTAGATATATTATTATATTATTTTATATTTTCTGATTTTTGAAGTGTATAATTTTTATTGTGTTTAGGATAATAAAGTCCTTAAACCAATGCTTCAATCTTATTTCTTTGGATGAATTAATAGGCAATATCATCATACTCGCCATTTCGATGTTCTACGTTTTAGCAGTATGTATTATTTTGTATTTGTTGTAAGTCATATTTTTTTCAAAAAAATATACTAGCAATTCAATACAAATTTTCAAGATGTAACGTACAGATTTTTGTTTTGTATAAGCTATTTTGTATTAATTATCACTATTTTGTATTAATCGATAATAAAGTTTCTTGCGCTCCGACATCCGCGCTTTGACTCTTGTAGCCTTTTTCCTATTAATTTTTGTTGTTGTGCATTATTCTATTATATACATATACTTTTCAAGTACATATATTTTAAAAATTGAAGAAAATTATTTATTTGTCACTGTGTTATTTATTAATACCGAAACTCATTTTAATGATAAAATAGTAAAAACGATCGTGCAGTCTTTAAAATTCCAAAATTTAACAGAATTTATAATTCTTGCTGAAGGCTAAAACTTGCTTAATGTTCTCTCTTCTTCTGATAATAAGTTGATGTTTTTCAACCATTAGATTAGAACCGCGGAGATTAAAACAAAGCTCTAATTATATAATGTATAAACCAGTACAAGATAAAAGTAGTAATATATGTTTAAATAAAAAACAAAATAACATATGTATACGAATGTTTTTAAATGCTATAAATTTTGACATTGTTTTCACAAAAAAATCTATTTCTAGCGATGGAATGATAGATATAAAATTTTTGAAATGAGATTCCGTTAAAACCGTCGCACAGAATATTTTCAACTGATGGAAAAGCAAAAAATTAAAACGTCATATACGATGCGCAAAAACGATTATATCGACAACATTGTTAAATATTAAAGCATTGAGAAGTTTAATGACTTATCTATACCGTTAAAAGCTCGACTATCTATACCGTTAAAAAACTCGTAGTCATTTTTTTGTGCACAATGTTGGATACAAAGAAATAGGAGATATATAAGATAAGAATGATGACAGATGTACAGTTTTGCTCTTCGCTGCACTCGGTAGTAAGATAATTGATACGTCAAGAAGACGAAGAAAAATGATGGCTAATAACAATCTAATAGCAGACCAGCTTTTCAGCTGACGAACATAATAGTTGCTCACGTTTTATTCTAATATTCGACATTACAATTGTTAGACATTAAAACGTATAAAATCTAAAATAGCAAAATGATAAAATAGGTATTAAATTATCGTATATGGCTGATCCAAATGTTAGTTCTTCGACCATCATGCATTGATTAACATAATTGTAGCACATAAGTCTGGTCGTGGTTCGCAGCAAAAGAAATCACAGTTGCGAATAGTCAGTTGATGAAAAATCGCAACTCGATTCGTTATGCAAGTAAGAACTACAGTAGAAAATATTCTGTTTTGTCGAAAGAAAAATAGTTTTTTGTCAATTTTATATCTTAATGCTAAAATAATTCAACTAATTATTGCTACATTAATATATTACACAATACTTTTCTCAGAGAGTGATGCGATCTAATCAATTCTATTATTTTCAATAATTTATATCGCAGGGATTGTATTTCAGACCGAAGTTGGCCATATCGAGGATTTGTTTGTTCATTTAGAACGCATTTTTTCCGTCGGGGGAATATGGCCGTTCAAGCGAACTTACATTCGTTTCGCGATTTACATCTCGTATTACACTGTATACCTCGTTATGGCATACGGCGATCTTTGTGACGTTTTCGGTAATCTGGAGCTGATGGTGATGAATCTCGTGGAGACAGTCGCTTACTCCATGTCGTTTACGATGCTATGGCTAATCCGTTGCAACAATTTGTTGAAGCGCGTAATTGACGCGGTTAAGAAAGATATAATGGAACGTAAATTTGAGAATTCTGAAGAAGAGAGAATTTACTATAGTTATAATTACATATCCAAAATATTCACATACGGCTCGATCGTCGGCATGTTCATCACGGTTCTATTGCTGTATTTTAGACCGCTTATGCTTCTACTTATGCATACTTCAACCAGCGATCTAGGTATGCGAAATTTATTAATTCTCAAAGAGAATATCTTTATGTGTATGAAGTTAGCCCCACACTTTAATAAAATTAAAATAATCAAAATTGTACTGCATTGTACTAGTTTTGTATCAAATTGTACCGTAGTTAATTTTTTGAAATCA